CAGACCTGTACGCCTCGGGATAGTTTCCTGTTCCAATAAACCATCACCAATTAGGCCTATCTGGTCTCTTCCGACAACATCCCGAGGATCAATGAGACCCCCCAGTGATGACCGGCTGTCAGACAATCTTGTTCGTGATCTCGGTCTATCAGCCCAACGGCCGGAAGGTGACTCCCTGTCTAACCATAGGTCGGAATTTCCAAGACCGAGAAAGTCATCGGATGATGGCAACCCTCTTCTGTCGACTAAGGAATCACCTCTAAGACCTAGAAGGTCACTTGGGATTGTTCGCCTCCTTGGTACACGTTGATCTATATCTCTACCTTGTAACCAAGGTCGGTCATTATCAGTGATGAATCCACGGCGTCTATTCAATCCATCGTCCCTTCTTAAAAGAGGATCCCGTCTGTCGCGTGTAAAGAAACCACCACCTGCCGGTAGTTCTTCGGGAAGTAATGCACCTATTCTGTCGCGGATAGGAAGTGTGCTACCTTTCTTGGGCAGAACAGTTTTCTTCACGACTTCTTTAACAGGATTGTAAGTACGTTTAGGAGGTAAATATTTTGCAGGTCGTCTGGGCCCATAAGTAGCTGAGGAGAAATTGAAAAACATCGTATGTATTACCCCATGTTTGACTGATTTTACTGTAAACCATTTTTTGCATGCGGTTTCTATTCGCAAATTTCTCGATCGAAATGAATTCACAAGTAAGTATCCACAAAAGATTACGATATGACAAAAAAGTAAACACAGATCTGTGTATTGTTTTGATATTAATGATACTCTGTAATCTAAAATAGATATCCTCGATACAGTAAAATAAAGCCTAATACATATATTTCCTGAAATTATTAATCACTACCATCTCGGTGCTCACCTCGTGAAACAGTAACGGATATTAATACCGCTAGAAATACTAGCACTTCTGTGATATAAACCATGGTCCTGTCTCACCGGTGTTTACGTGTCTTAGTTCTGATCGAATGAAGAATACTAAAATCACACCAGCATATATAGTAGACTACTAGGAAATTAAATACAACATTTTGACTCATTATGATTGATATTGTGGTGTTATATTACTTGTCGACGAAGTGACAGTAATGACGTAATAAAAAGCTATTATTGTACCGGAGGAAATACCAGTTCTCCATCATAAAGAGCGCGTACTGCTCTCTGACAGGCCGCCATCTACGTCATGACACGTATATGGATCACTTGATCAGAAAAAAAAAACATATACAAGATATATATACAAATGTATCGATGTACAGTTATAAATGACATTAAAGTACAGAGGATATGAATATATTTCTGTTTGATGAAAGTATTTCGCAAGGAAAAAAAACACACAACATAACTACCAAACTAAAGCGAGCATACCAATAAAGCTCATTAACCAAGGTAATTAATGGACATATTCCAATTTAACGACAGTATCAAAATAATAGCATAACTACCAAACTCAAACTAGTATATTACCTAAAAACAATGCCGTGATGTATTACTTATTTGAGAGTTAACAGCAACAATTAAATTCTTTTCATCGTTCATCTAACAAAGTTTATTAAAAGAAAAATTAAACAGGTGAGTTTTTTTTTATTCCAAGACATTCTTATAAGGACAGGAGTACGAGTGTTCCGTGTGTAATTTTATACGTATGTATGCAAATGAGACACAACCTACACATACTATCACCCCGTCTGTTAGTCATACTACCGTGTTGTATTTGAAAGTGTGCGGAAAGCAATGTATTATAAACAACAAAATCGTATAAAGAAATCCGCAACATGGATAAACATGAATGTGATTTTGTGAGGTGTAAGCCACGATGATTTAGTGGTCATTTAGTAGTGATAAGGTAGTAACAACAGGTAAAACTGCGTAGTTACAAGAAAACTAACCAACAGTTACGGCCCCTAATGTATGTCAAAAGTTATGATAACAAAACTAGATAGTATTTCCATACCTCAACATCACAGGTAACTGGACCGAAACGTTATTAATCAGAAACTGTGATCAACATATAAATCTGGTTAAATGTTGGTTAGTGGGACATGACACTTAAGGAAACGATTGTACTTCTACACTGATATTTACCGAGCAATAGACCTGATCATATCATGCTGTGTTTTAACTGAATAATTAACCAGCAAAAAGTGCGCATGACTGAAGCTGGTTGCTTCATTTGCAATGTTTGATTGTTAAAAATAGAATCAATTTATCTAACAAGCGAATGCGATTGACGCAAGAGATTTATCAACAGAATTATACTGTACGGGGTACCGTTTTACTTATCATTCCATTTAGGTGATATCGCCATGTTTTATTGGCAACATCATTGATTCAATTGGAGATATGTAATTATGATAATATCACTTATTATGTATTCCACCTCCGCAGTATCTTTTAACGTTTAGTTTTTCGTTCTCTAACAGTCTAAGGGGGAGGTTTAAACTTAGAATTCGGCATGAATTTATACAAAATCTTACCAGAAAACAAAAAAGGATATTATTTAAGAATAATGAAGTATCCCCGACCTGTGTTAAAATTTTGCTTTCCTGCCTTTCGGTTAAAATTTGTGAATTTGTAGTTGGTACCAACCAGCTAACACATCGCTTAGGCAGACACTTTTCGCCAATTACACCGACACTTTAAATGCAGGTTACTGTTAAAATCATTTACCCAAAAAAGGATGCATTCTCTTGAAGATAACCTAACGTATAATATTTATGTTTTTTGTTACTGTCGTTGAAGATTTCTTCGATCAATATTTGAAATCTGACCCGAAGGAAAACAAGAATCCTTACAATGTGAAATCATTGATTGGTTATTTCGGTAAAAAAGTAGATTTTAATGTTTTAACTTATAACATATTTTTCCTGTTAAAGAGCCAGACCCACTCCGTAATAGATAATTTTTCATATTTTATTGACTGGAAATGTTGTTGTGACATCGCTTGTTAAGAGATTTTGCCGATAAATGCAATCAATACTCTATATATCCTGTATGGAAATCATCTAACGTATGCATTGATCACATCTTTCAATGCTTAGATATGATACAAAACCGTGCAGATTACGAGAAAAACTACGATTAATTGCAAAGAGGCCCTCAAATGGGGGCTACGATACGGTAACGAACATATAGAACATCGCGAAATGGATCTATTTAAAGCGAATATTTGATGATAAGAGTATTTATGAATATGATTTTAGAGTGATACTACACGAGAGAGCCAAACAGAGAGCAATAGAGTATCAATCAGCCATCTTCCTTCTTTCCGCCTCAGAGTCCGTCAAAACACATTTTCTTCCGCGCTTCCCTTGCACGCTTTCTGCCATGTTGGAAGACGGCAGAATTATTTACAGTTCTTAACGCAGAGGGCAAGAATTTCCGCATAATTATGAATTAGCACTGAGTCGTTTCGAATTATTTTTAAAAACTATTTATTACGTTAGATTGGTAGCGATTTACTTTAAAATTGCGGTATTACAGCGTTAGTCAGAACTTTTGCTACCCGAGAAAAATAGAAAATCATGAATTTTTTTATATAAAATAATCTCGGTCGAGGAGTGGATCTGGCTCTTTAAGTGAGGTAATGGCAGCTGAGTCACCATAATGTTGAACTTCTTCAAAGAATACAATCATTTTCAATGTCAACGTTGGTGACCTTGACCTTCTCAACACCATCATTTAATGTCAAAACCGGCAGCTTACATCTTTTACCTTAAGGTTTTCAGCCATAGTTCAGTTGTCTTTTGTTTGTGTATCTTACTGAATTGATCCGTTTTAGTATTGTCTTCGTTCCACAGCGTTTCTTATAAAGATCTTTGTATTGTCAGTGTTTAACTAATTTGATGAAAACCCGATTCATCTAGTTTTACAGTGTAATGACATTATTGGATGTAATGTATCTTGTCTTGAAAGGAGTGTTTGTTTATTGTCCATTCAGCGTTCATAAGCCCATGACTGCCAACTGAAAGCTGTTTGATGCTTAAATAAGATTAATTTGCATCCTTATGTGTTGAAAATGGGGTGTATTTTACAGGATTATGTAATATTCATTTGCATCCTTTGTTGACATGTGTTATTTCTATGAAATTAATTGTGGGGTCGACTAACTATGAAATTATATTTCAATTAACACTGATTGCCGTTTTGAATTGTTTTCAATTATGTGTATGAATATGTATAAAACATTTGTCAGAAACGTTGAACTTGTTGGCTTTGAAGTTAATGGGGAGGTGAATTTTGATAATAATATCATCATTATCACTCATGACCGAAGTTTGCTGTTGTTATGTCGTGTTTAACTGGACGAGAGATGATGGTGTAACATTCTTGCTCTTGTCAACTGTGAGTCTGACAGCTTATGATTATAATCCACTTCATTCATTTGAACATTAATCATCCATTGCAATTGTCTCATATTACAATAATCTAAATCGATTTGTATCTAGAGGTATTCATTTGTAAACCTTTCTTTTTAATTTTTTACATTGATTTTGCTGAACTTGAACGTAACAGGATTGTATGGGAGTCCACCATTATGTATTAAGATGATCCTGACTTGGACTACCATACATTGTATGCCTAAAAGAAACATGTTGGATAAGTGTAGGTAACTACCTTCTTTTTAAAGTGGATACATTAGTGTAAATCATAAAAGCTTCTCTATCCTGGTTTTGATATGTAGAATAGCATTTAATGGCATAATCAAAGCCTTGTTAGTTACAGTGGGTAGGGTATGATGCTGCAACATCCAAGTGATAACATTTCAGTGTGATGGCACTTAATAAAGCATAAGTCAATGGTTCCAACACCTGTGGACTTATCTTCTCATGACCTTAGCTGATGCACGGACATACAACCCAAAACTACATGTAAGTAAAAATTGAAAACTTTCAGTTTTATCTTATATGAACAGTATTGCAATTGTTTAAAATAAATTTACTACAATAGGTCTGTTAATCTTCACGAAATAAGTAAAACATATATTCAAAAGACCATGACACATTTATTGATGAATATTTATCATGATACATTTATATCATCTGGTCATTCTGTATAAAAGGGAAAAAGTTAATTTTCCATAAACCATTTTCTTCATCAAACATAATTCAGTTTGTGGAAAAAGTTTTACTATCATCAAATAGCATGATAGTAAGGTTAAATACAAATTATTTGCTGTATAAAAAGATCACATTTGATCTTTCAGTTGCACTTCTATGAATATCTAATCATTTTGTTCTGATTTTGTTGTTTAATAAGAATATTGCAAAGAAATACAGACTTTAAATGTTAACAAAGCCTCATTATATGACAGTATTAGCTGTTGGAACTTTAATCTTTTTAAAATTTATTCACCGTGTACAGACAATGGCATGTCAGAAGCCATACTGCCACTGCATTTTATGTCCAATTAAAAGCTTCAGTAACTAGCCAAGAGTTGCTAGTACCTCAATAAATCCCATTTTACATTTTCAGCTGCATTACTGGCCCAAACATAAATTCTTAGGGATTTATTCCATAAACTCTGTGCTTTAAACAAAATATAACTAATACAAATTAAAGTTACAGGGACTGTTCTACATCCCCTATGTACTGTACTGACAGTCAAACAAATGAAAACAATTAATGAAAATATCTAAAATAGAAACTGACAACACAATGAACCAGGGATCCTGTAGCTCATATCATAACAAACTTGGTCCACAAGGAAACAATATGGGTAAGCCTGATGGTCTATAAAAATCTTGGCACCTAGAATTAAACACATTTCACTTAGCTACTATCTTTATCTTCAAAGATTCCATATTAAAAATAACTTTTCAAATGAAAAACAAACCCTTACTAAATATCTATGACCATTTCTGTGATGTAGAGAAGCCAGCTTGGGAAAATAACCCTCACTGGTCCAGATGTCATAACACAACTCATACATTTTGATGACATTTTCTTCACTGTCTCCTCTTTTCTGATAAACAGTTTGGGCTTTATGTTGTTTAGTGTAAATGTTTAGCACAAGAAAAGTATACTTATATCAAAACTTAAACTCTCAAGTATGAATAAATTTCCGAGGCAATGGTTGTAGAGTATTCTTATCTAGTTAATCTCCTGTTGCCTAGATACAATGACACAGTGAAGTACAGGCACTATAGAAGTTTGTAGGTGCACTTCAGGAGCAGCCATGGAACAGGATCCACTTCAGACTTCATCTTGTAGATAAACTTTACAACTTAAGAACAACAGGTAATGCTCATTACCTGTTGCAGTATTTGAGAAGAATGATTCAGAGTTGAGACTTCATTTGCCAACATGCTTTCCACCCTAGAAAAAAATATAGAAGCAATAAATCAATAGCAATATCAGATGAAAATTTCACATGTTCAATGTACCATGTACTGCTTCCACCGCACACTGATATCTTATTTTTTCATTTTAACATTTAGAGTTTTTGTTACTACGTTAAGATAAGGAACTTATTGTGTCCGAGTACATTTTGATAGGAACACATTTTTATGTCATTCTTCTTAATGAAAACAAACTTTCTAGTATTTTTTTTCTAAAATATGCCTGTGACTGCAGAACCAGCAATTTTACAGTTATCTCCCCTTTAGTCAACGTCCTTCTAACTTTACCACATTATGTTGTTTATGAAATGGCCGAGGTAACTTTAAAGTTAAAAGGCATCATCTGTAAGACCTGCATATAAAAAACTGGGTTTGTTGAGTTCTAATCGACAAAACTCAGAAAATCTTCCTCTGAGAGCTGTTTTACTACATGTACAAAGGACCAGTTAACAGAACACACATTTTTACTGATGGACTATAACTCAACATGCTAGCCCTGATATAAACATACATATGGACATACCAATTCAACACTCACTTGGTCATGGATATTTTCATGTATACTTCTCAAAACTTACCAGGCCTTTAAGCATTCATGCATAAATAATATGTCTCGTAAGAGTTGGATTGCTAAATAGAGATACAGTGATTTACCAGGAAAGCAATTTCTGTGCACATGCAGTGAAAGTAGAGAGATTATATGCTGCTTGTCGCAAGTTGACGTCTGTCAGATGAAGCAAGTCTTAGGACAGAGTTGACACCATAACGTGACATTGATACATTACGTACAGGAACGCTTAGACATAAACAAGAACATCCTAGGGTACAAACAATAAACAACTCTTTAAGTATCAATGTTTGATAATGTCGTTGAATTTGCAGTAGTCCAATATAAAATGCACAGAACAAACTGTATCGTGTTCTATATATACCTTTTGTTTGTCAATATCAGCTTTGAGTGCGTGAACTTTGGACCTCTCTTTTTCTAGCTCAGCGGTGAGACTAGTGACCTGTTCTGTGAGCTCATCTCGCACTTCACCTAACTGGTTCACCTGCATCAGTACCTCTGCTTTGTCTTTCACTGTTAAAAAAATGAAATATATTATCATTTCCTGTAGATTTCAAGCTTTCCAGTGTTACCAATGCTAACTAGAATTGTCTTCCAGGGGCCAACTCATAATCCCCTCCAACGTTCCCGAAGAGGCAAAACTTTCTAAAAAGGGTAGATAACTCAACCTGATAAAGATTGCCCACATCTACAATGTATAAGGATCATAGTTAGCAAGTATTGTTGAAATGAATGCAGCATTAAGTTGTTTAGGAAGAGCAGCCAACATATTGTTGTGTCTACAGATGGATGGACAACCTGATTCCAGTATATCCCCTAACTTTGTTGCGGGTGGGGGTGGGAGATTAGGGGTATAATTAAAGATAACCATTACACAATAAGTCAGTCCTTCAAAAGAACTTACAAGAAAAAAATGGACCTGTCTATATAATTTTTTTTTCTGGCAATGTAATGTCAATCTTCACTTTCATGGTTCATCATGAAATTTGTACCATCAGACCTGTCACCTTAAATGTGTTTTGGTTTCATCAAAATTGAAAGATTTTACTTTCTGCAAACCACATACAATCTTCTGTTTTGTCTTATTGATGAGATTTTTTTTGTTCATCAGAACTTAACAGTTATTTCAAAGATAAGTTTAGGATTTTTAAGAGATCATTTCTTTACCTTATCAATGATTTCAGGTTAAGTTTTGTTTAGAGTGACTAACAATTTGGTTTATACATACTTTCTCCCTGAGCTAATATCACACATAACTGCTTGTTCCTCTTCTTTACTTGCTTAAGTTCATTCTACAAAAACAGAAAGTACTTCATGAAAATGGTCATCATTCTCCGAAAATGTTTATAGGATTTAAAAACATTTAGACTGGACATTGATTTCCAGTGACAGCTCATTCAACATTCCATACACGTGGTGGTTTGTGTTTCTTAGGAAGCTGATAAACAGACTGGTCTCTGTTTTATAAAAATGTACATGTCAGATAGAACTTAACTAAAATGTTTAAAAAATGTTTTAGTTGTAGTGTGATGAAGTCTCAAGTGAGGTCTCGCTTATACTGTACAAGGCAGCTCAGATGATACAAATCCTTTGAGTCTAGGAACAAATTGGGGCTAATTGGAAAAGCAAATATATTTTAAAGGATATACATTTAGCTTATGTGTATCCGTCTCATCCAAGAGCTATCAAATCTCTTTTCGTTACTTTGGAGAAATTAATGAATAATTTTGTAGTTTTTAACCCAGGAAGACGCAGTGGTGCAGTGGTAACACACTTGCCTTTCACATAGCCGACCAGGGTTCGATTCCCGGAACGGACGTGAAAAGGTAAGGGGTCACCTGCCCGACCATGTGGGTTTTCCCCGGGTACTCCGGTTTCCTCCCACAATAAGATCCCTCGCGCACTTACATCCGGGCCAACAAGAGTGATTAGTATAAGTTGACATAACTTGTTTCGCAATTGTTGTAAAATAAATCCAGTTTATATTTATTTATATATGATGCTATGCAAACTTTCACAAGAGATGATAACTATCAATAGGCAACGGCTATCAGAAAGTATGAAGTTTCATGATCTAAAGAGAAGTCAGTAGAGCAAAAATTACTTCAGTAGTAAGTTTTGCTTCCAGAAGGTTTAAAAAAGAACTGATATAGGAGTTGATAGTTGTGAGATAGTGTATGATGCTGCATGTTGGGACCTACCGACGATGTGATGCTGTTAGTATTTCAACTATCTGATAACCCTTATCAGTGTCCTGCACAGCAAAAGCCGCTCATCTTGATGCCTATATGAGTACAACTTCTTACTGGTTTTGTTTCTTTTTCATGAACATTGATGCAGTCAAAAAAAAGTATGTATTATATTAACAATGTTAATATTTTCAAGTTCACCTCAATCCAAAACTAGGCCATCATGCAAGTGCATATTTTCACCTGGTAACTTGGTAACTCTATCTGCCAAAGCATGAGTGTGCAAATGACATCCTGGAGTAGTGGTAAATACTTGAGGAAGGTTATCTGGTAACAGTTCAGTTAGTCCGCTAACCATTCCAGCACTAGTTACTAGGTATATCAATACCAGTGCATGATATGGTCACGTTAAAAGCATTATCCATAACACACAAGAATTTTGATGAAATAAAAATCAAACCAAGTATCTGAGATTCAAGTCTTATATACTAATGAGAATTTGTTCAAAAGATAAGTAGCAATATCTGAAATAAGAAAACAACAAATGTAACACGCTTGAAATAATCCAAAATATTACTTACCTCTAGTTTACCTACAGTTGCTCTCAAAAATTCTATTTCTTTATCTTTTTTACTAAGTTCATTTTTATATTTGTTGGACATCACACTTTCTACTGCATATTGCTGAAATAAAACACAAATCATACTAAGTCATTGGTAAAGAATGATTAGGTTCCGCATATTATTTATTACCATAGCATGGGAGGAACTGAATTTTCCGCCATGCAAAACGGTGCTGAAATCTCTTATTGACATTGACCATAAAAAAAACAACACAATTGTCAATGAAGTAATAAAGTTCATGAAAACATCTCATATAGGACATACAAATTGTACATTCAATTGTCATTCAGCAGCTTGACCCTAGTTTGATTCCTTGTAAAATAGAAATTTTCACTAGATAATGTTTCCTTTTTTTAAAAACAGACCCTTTCACACATTCAGGAAGACCCAGAAGGATGTCTGGATTTACAGTATTCCAGTTGCTGTCTTAATTTTCTGAAGTCTATCTCTATCTTTCATGTATTGTTAACCAATGTATAAAGCTTAATCATTATCAATTGTTACATATGAAGTTCTTTTTTTTTCCTCCTTCTTTTAAATATGTCTTTCTTTATGAGAACCATCATCACTACAGCGATGATGTTGAAACTATTGACGTTATAATACAATAACATTAGAGTTTAAAGGTAGTAGTTGGAGTAAAGCCATTCTCAAATATCACGATGGTGTAAAAATCATGAACGACCCTCTATCAAACATACCTTTTGATATTCCTCTTGTATTTTTTCTTTCTGTAAAATTTTGTGAACATCGTCATCTACTGTGTCAAAGAACTTGACATTTGTCGGTGCATCCTCTGGCGATTCCAACTTATGACTGGCTGGAGACAGACTAGGCAAATCTTCTAACTCTGAATTACAAAAGTTAATAAAACCTCAATGTTAGAAGGTAGATGACTCTTACTATAGTGTTCATTGCAGACAACTGAACATAAAAAGAATCAACCACAACGTACAAATTTTAGTAACTGACCTCTAATTTTTTTTTTAAACATTAAGTAAATTATGTTTTACACCATGAAAGTAAAATAGGCATGTAAAAGTACCAGTTTGACTTTTAAACTTCTTTTCCTCATTCAGATAAGCTAAGCTAACACAAATACTACTTTAATAGCCCATGTTTAGTGACCTATCTTTACATAATGATAAAATATTGAAAGATATACTTAGGGTGCCTTATTTCCAAGTGTATCACGACCCCAGAAAAGGAATTACACTATATTATCAAACTCTGAAAATGAATATTTATTAACAATATTTTTCTGAGATTACAGGTTAGGACAAAAGAAAGCAACAAAACAAATCGCTTTTTTTAATCATAACAACACAATTCTTAATTCATACATTACCATCAGCATATGACTTCGCCTGACTACCAGAGTTGAACTCATCAAGACTCATTGTCACTGGCTTGTCTTTCTTATTCTTCTTTTTCCCATCCTTCCCTTCTGGTGGCTGATCATTGCTTTTACCAGCTGCCTTTGAGTCACTTTTTTTCTGTAAGAAAAGCAGTAATAGCAACCAGTGTTGTATATAGCAATGTTTTGTGTGTATAACAGTAAACAAGGCTAGGGTAGAGTCAACACTGTGGTTTTCTTCCACATCTGAATAATTTGGACCTTTGTTCTTCCTCTGGATACCTGAAAGTATGCATTGGACCGTGTTTATAATGGATACATCTGGGAAATACATTCAGTCACAACAGGCAAAGGAGCAAGTAGTTTCTGTAGTTTATTAGAAGTGTTGACCAGTCATTACTGCTAATAAACAACAAGAACTCTGTATACTTGCTCCTTTACCTCTTACGACTGAATCTATTTCCTAAAGGTGCAAACAACGCAAGTATCAACTGCAACAAGCTCAGGATAAGTTGGTAGTAGGTTTATCATCTTGTCAACCGGTTTCGCCTAACTATGTGGGCTTCATCAGGACAACAAATGTATGAAATTTTCCACTAAAGTACTAAAAGTGTGGACATGTTACATGATGACGTACACAATAAGATTCACATATGTGACCTTCCATTACATTCTATAGTTTCCATAACAGTTAATACAGTGTCTATTTCCTAAAGGTAAACAATATTCACCTGATTCTTGAAAGAACACAGATCTTTTATAATTATCTCCTTTATTCAGCAATAAGCCCCAATAATAATCATATCCACATATATTTCAATTAAGTAGAAATGCAATTCCATGTTTTTCAGCCAAAGACAATACAGGAAAAATATTGTATTTTTTACTAGGTACAGAGTATCAGAATATGAAAGTTGACTGTAATGGGTAAATCTGGTCTAGGAGAACTAGTGTATTAAATAGGAGTGACACTCACATTCACACTTTTACTGTGTTCATATTCCATCTTGCTGAGAAGTAATGCTTGTTGTAGATCTTTTTCATAAAACCCTGCTGTAAGCTACAACAAACGATGAAAATATCATTAGACTGTTATGCAAAACATTTTTTTTCCTAAACTATCTTGTAAATATTAAAGTATCCTTGAAATATGAAGAAAGAAATCTAACATAAACTTCAATTTTCTTTTAGTTCATTCAGATAATCAGCTGTATATTCTCAAGAATGCTGAGAATTTCTAGTTCCTTACATCACCCTGAAGCAAAGGTTGATCAGATCAAAACATCATTGTTATACCATTGACTGTTATCATAAATAACGTAACAATAATTTTCCAATCTTGGTTTTAGTAGTAGGGTTTCTGATAATGTTATGATTCACTGTAAACCAATCATATTTAAAAAAAAAATAATCAATAAATTCTCTACAATATCTCTTTTTATTTTCTGATCATCGAAGATTTGTACATTCAGTCTCCTTAATCATACACTAGAAATATCTCTAGTAACTAACACATGCGATTTTCATGATATATATCTATGTAACATTATATCTCCAGTGCCTCTGGTTGAATGTAAAACACTGACCTCAGGCTAGTGTTATATAAGCTCTACCAAGTGCACTGCAGAAAAATCCTAAATTGAGTCCACTGGAAGCAGGTAGATAAGAAAATTGGGTAAATGAGGAATGACAACTGACTATTTGCACAAGTAAGACAGTCAGATAATGAAATAATATCTATTGGATCCCGTCAGATTTAAGGTTACTCCAATTGATTTTCTCTGAATGAAAAAGTCTATGCGGAAATACCTAACTGATGAACTTTCCCTGGGTAATCTGGTTTCCTACCTGAGTCAAGTGCTAATAAAAGCTTGTTTCAAAGCTATAGTTAATACTGACTTGGTCATCCACCTTCTTCCATTCTTCCCACTGTTCAGGCTTGGCCTCTTTGTTTTTCTTGCCTCCCTTGTTGCCCTTGACATTATCAGTAGTACTCTGGGCTGATTGTGGTCTGTGATTTCCTGATCCACTAAGGCCAAATGCCATGTTCTTCAACTGGTGAAATAAAAACCATTCAGCTGTAGGAATTATTCTTGCTCTCTGTAGTCAGCAGACACCAGTGATATAGAGTTGTCTCCTCTATAGTATCATCCTTATTCAGATGTCACCATTGTTTATTCTAAAATATTTACATTTCTAGTATTCTCTATTTGACTTTCACAACAAAACAAGACGTTTACACTTCTGTAAACATAAAGTCTAGTGAATATTCCCCCCAAAATGGAATGACCCATTTAGCTTTTCCATTAGTGTGATTAATTGATATAGTACCCAGTGAATGATGATGATTAAGTTTTCAAAGTAGCATTATACGTATCTGTAAAAGGTAAATTGGAGAAATAAGTTTTCTTTGTTGTTGTTTAATGGTGTGTAAAATGCATTTTTTTACTAATATTTCAACACACCAGTAAATAGCACAAGAAAAAAAGAGAATTGATTTCTTAAATAACACAAAAGGTTAGATCAAACCTATGCCTATAGCTTCTACCCTTGAAGTGATCTACACCACCAAATATGTAATAGTAAATAGGAATACATTCATTCTGTAACTGATGTGACCAAAGTTTTATTTCATGAACCTCTCTTCCACCTGCAGTAAAGTTAATACCTTGTAGAAATAGCATTGCAGCAATGTTTTGTTAAAATATGTAATTATTTTGAAAAATGAAATGACAATAATTATTAATTTTGATCGATAATTAGCTTCTCTATCTTAAATTTGGAAAGTGAGAAAAGTATGATATAGTAACATAATAAAGGTTGTCAAACACTATCATTCTATGTCTTTAACTTTTACAGAAAAAAATAACAGATGTCGCTATCACTGATAACCTCATCGTCTGGTGTCGTCTTCTTTTTTCTTTTCTTGTTTTTATTCTTTGACTGCTGTTGATTGTTTTTCCCTCCCTGTGAAGGCTTTGTTTCCCCTTCATCGTCATCGTCGTCTTCTACCTTTAGCAACGCAAATCTCGATTGCGCCACTTTGATATTAGCTGTCATGTTTTGAATCTTCTATCTCTTCAAAAACATGTGTACAAGGTTCGGTCTAATTTGGAAACGGAAGACTGATTGTATTTCCGGAAAATAGTAACCTGAAGGATTCATACATCATCTTAAGGTGTCTCGTGCGCTACCAGTACGACAGATAACCACGTCACTGATGATCATTTTCCTACTGAGAGGATTAAAAACAATAGAAAGTATTTCTTTGTTTGCCATTAAGTTGGAAACAGATGCTGTCAAAGAAGAAGATAGCGTATCAATAACGAAATCTTCGTTGATAAATAAGGCTTGACATATTTAAAATCCTACGAACACATTATATTTATAACAAGTTACATAGTTATATAATGGATTTTCTTGAATTATGTGCCGTCTTTCTGATACGTTTTGTATATATATATATACCCTGGATTAGGTTTGACTGACTGGATGCAGTTGTGATGCATTTTATGAAATGTAAGATTTCATAATTTCCCCCGTCTTTATAGATTTTTTCCAGTCCACATATCAAAATTTGTAGTGACATTACCTTAATATAAGATGTCACTCAATTCTTTTTGTAGTGCCTGAATGGGAAAGATTGACACAATACCTACTCTCAGTTAGATATAAATAATTTATTATAGTACATAACAATCAACATAGGAAAAAAAGATCGTGGCTTTATAACAGACTTGATACTCTGACATTTTGCCCTCTCAACCATTGTTAAAATCCCTTTCATTCTGATTTGGCTGAAATAACTGTACTACATATATAATTGCTATAACATGTTGGATAGTATGAAACGAGTCTTCGAGGTTTTTAGTTCTTAATGCATGCAGAGACGTATATAACCAGAGACGTATATAACACACGTCTCTGATGCATGTTTGAAAAAAAGAGAGAAAAGAATGGTCTCCTAACTCATAAAGAATACAGTGACTATGTATACATGTAAGTTTGCTGAAAAAATAATACGTGTGATAAAAAAAACCCGTGGAAGTATTCTCCGATATTTGTATTTCAAAGTGCAGATCTTCTGTTATATAATTACAGGGACAGTAGCTATAGGATTGTCAAATATGACTGTGATGATTATGTGTGTCATTTGCGAATATATTTACTTGTAATAAAATCAGACTTAGATAGATAACGAAGTCCGTGATATAATAGACCAAGAAAAATATAATATTTATATATTGGGTGTGAAATTGGATCTTGTTTCCTGCTTTAATCATGACTTTGAGTTTCCGAAGAAAGCTTAGTACAACGGATTTCTGTCAGCCTGAATAGCATTAACACTGATAGCTTTCCAGCAATAATCACTTAATGCATTTAATTTATGAAATAATACGCTGTCAAATGATAAACTTACTTCACAGAGTTTGAATCACAATGGTATATTCGTCCTTTAAGGTTCCTTTAAGTCTTCATTGGTGTAACTAGGTCCTTATAACGAGTTGAAACAACGAAATACGCGAAGGGCTTTATCATTAAATTTCTTTTACGAACAAATGTTTTAATTTAACAAAATAATGTTTAGATTTTCATGTATTCAATTTAAATAGAATCACATGTATGGAAACTCAGCAGCTCCCCTCCATAGTCTCTACATTACTGACACAGAAACGGGCATATCGGCGAATCTTATTACAAGGCACCCGACAATGTTTCTGATAGGGCTTCGCCATTGCAAAGAGTATAAAAACGACAAAGCTTTATATTTAAGTAATATAACTTTAATGCGACAGTTGTTATTGGGGCGGGGAGCGAGGGAAAACTGAGAACATACACAAGTATAGAAAGCCCTATGCGCCACCTTAATGCTGAACCCGAACATTATTAACGCCTTTCAAACATCCAAATTACCGGATATTGAGCAGGTAGCGCCACAACGCGGATGTTTACAGCATAACACGTCGTCAAAGCAGGTTGGCGTAGACGTTTCAGGGCTACGAGGAAAAGGAAAAAAGTATGGCAGCAAACGGACGAGGCTCTATGCGAGCTCAAAGTCGGTCACCTCCATTCTTAGTTATTGGCCTTTTGGTAGCATTAGTTATCCTAGGGGCAAATTACTGGAATCTCTCTTCCAGCAACAGCAAGTTGTCGTTCGAGGTAGCTGAACTTCAAGATCAAGTTCGACAAATTTCTGCGAAACGAATAAGCGCTGAAAAGAAGATAGATTCCATGGCAGAGAGCTACAACCGAAACAAAGAGACTTTAGCACAGAAAGAGAGCGATGTTAAATCTCTAAACAGTCAAATAGGGGACAAGGTGGAAGAACTACAGTCTTTGGGCAAAGAAAGGGAGTCCTGTCAGAATAATTTGGTATGTCACACATGAGCGAGTCGTCACACTTCAACGATGAAATGTTTTTGCGCTCTACTTAACATAACTTTTTGAAATATTTAGAGATGAAAGTAAATCCTTAGTATATGTCATTAAAATTAGCAATGGATATATAATCTTGTACAGTCAGAAAAATGGTATTGATATCCGTACCTTGTCTCTATGCACAGTCTCTGAATTGCATTAGTTCCTCAGCCAGGGATATATATAAGTTGCATTTGAATATCAACACCACTGTAACATTTATAACCTAATCAGAAAGGAATGCTTTGCATACTGTAATTTTTATATTGATAAATGAGGACTATTTTTCACATGGTGCACCATCTAATAGTAGTTGTATATGCTCTGTTTGAAGGATAAGATTGTTGGTAACAATTAGTTTTAGTTTAAAGCTGTAAAAGACTGCAAAATGTGTTAACATAAATGTGGGCTGTCACGTGGTGGTATTTCTGGTCAGTATAAATATCATAACCTTGTAGGCAATGCAAATTACCATATTGCATGCAGTGCAATATGTACCTCCGAAAGTCTTTCATAAAGAATGACCATTATGCTGTACCAGGTCTAGAAAAGTCAGTGCTCAAATATAATCTTTCTTCATTTGCTGAAGAGATAAGGTTCCATATCGAACACAAAAAGTGGTGTTTTTAGAGCATTCAATGTCTAATAATCAGTGAAAATGTGTCCTTTCCATTAACTTTTGGTTGTGTTAAACATTAAGGGCATTCAGAGGGGTCATACATTTAAATTTGATAAATGAAAGGAAATTTCAGATTGGGAGACCATGTAGCCAACTGCACTGATCCATTTGTAAAACAATAGATCTTCAGGCTTTGCTCACTTGTCAGACGATGTGATTCACCCATATAGCATTGATTAGTGATGTGAAGGGATCTCAAGTGTTTGAAATGAATAGCATTGATCTATATGAATCTCAACTGATTTCCATTCCTGTGACTATACTGATTTAAACCCACAATTGATATGGTTGGTAAATGTCTTTGTGTTTTTGGGTTTACAGATGTAATTTGATGAACTTGTTTTAAATCTTTAAATGCTCTGCAATATTTACCACTTATTACATTTTTAGGTCATCTGACCGAAGGGTCTGATTGAGCTGAAACTTCCCTGAAATGATCATGACATGACATGACCAAAGTTAGTTAATTTCGGGTTGGTCCGAAATCAAACATGGCCGCCATCTTGAAAACACATTTTCGACTTCTTCTCAAGTTCAAAATTTGAAATCTTGTATTTTATGTCAGATGACTGTAAGGCCCATGGGCCTCTTGTTTATTTACCAACACAAAACATGTTTGCAAGGGATATTTAATTGGTCTCTGTCTATCTGTGCAGTGATATTTTCTGGATCAGAGCTCTGAAACTATTCAAGAAAACAACTTGTAACCTTGCACAGTTCTCAAGCTAGTACTCTATTAATATCTTGCTATGGAAATGTTCTCACATATTCTTTACCAAGGAAACAGATATGCAAAATTACAAATTTCATTTGTTTGATGCGTGACTCCAAAAAAAATGTAATCTTAGGAAACTTATAATCCTATAACTATAATGGATGAGTTATCATCTTTTCTTGTTAACACAGAAACCGACAAGATTGCAAATTTCATGATTTCCAGAGCATGGCAACTACTTCAAGCATTCATTTGTGTAATTTATGCAATGAAATTTTGTTTCTTTTGCTTTTAATTTAGAAAAATTGTGAAGAGAACAGTAATGGAATACAGCAAGAATTACAGAAAGTGAAAGGTGTGTACACTCTTGTTACCTCCCTGAGCAATAGGTTATTTATTGGTTAAAGTTTTGTAGTGGTCAGAAGTAATCCATGCTTAGGATTTGTAAATGTGTAACTTCCTTCACATTCATCAAAGATCAATACTGAACAGCTGTTACATGTTTATAAGTATAGGAAATTTTAAACCAATTATATTTGTAACATTCGGTTGATGATTTGCATCGTCTTTGTACTCTGAAGATTAACATAAATTATATACACCTGTAAAGTATTTTATTGACATCAGAGGTCATCATTAACACTTGTCTGGTACCAGACCAAACTACTGTTGGAAAAGTAAAGACATTGAAATACTTGTCCAACAGAACAAGTAAGAAATATTGTCACTTTGTTGTTGTTAAATCAACAATCACCTTACTACTTAAAACTCTGTTTATATCGCAGTGAACATGTACACATGACATTGATTAAAACTGAAGTGATGCTGTATAATGAAAGTAGTTATTTCAAAACTGCATACAAATATTGCTTAAACTTCCAAGGACCTTCGAAAATATGCAATCATCCTCACTGATGTGTTTGAATCAAAACACATATGAAGTGAATTTGAAAGGCTCTGTATCAACACTGATGAAATGAGACTAAAAGTCTAAAAGGGATAGTGGACAGTTTAAATTTAGCTTTGTTAGCAACAGATCATGTAAGTGGCAGAAGAAAAAAGATGGAGAGAACCTATTTAAAAAAAGAGAAAAAAAGGGTTCGTGGAAAAGTAAATTTTAAGGACTGAAGAAGTAAGGTGATGACAAGCAGATACACCCAGATCTTCTACGAGTACCATTGATGGCAGTTTATTAATTGTGATGTATTGTGGTATATGTAGACAATATAAAACCTTGGCAGATCAGACAAGCTCTATGTTCAAAATGATAAATATCAGTAATGTACTGCAGTATATTGTTGTGATTACAATCTTATAGCTCTATGAATTTCAAACAAACAGACATTGAAAAACATTTAAAATTTACAGTTATCAATTGGGACAAGTATTTTATTTCTTTTGGACAAGTGGATTTATCTGTAACTTTTCCAAAACAGAAAAAAGTTGATGACGACCTTTGGATATCTTTATTAAGATATATATAAAAAGGAAGAAATATAAAAACCATATTTCTTGAAAGATTAGGAAGATTACAATTTTATTGGTCCCAATTTGAACTGGAAGAACAATATCAAACTGGGGAAAGCAGTCAGTTGCTACATTCTGTTGTAAAACTTCATTTAGTACTGACACTAATGCTAATGACATGTTATTTACTTTATTTTATCCAATATCTTTGTTGTCAAATACTTTAAAACACTGTTGATTGATTTAAAAATCATTAGATCATGATTGATATTCAACATAACCCCTGAAAGCTTTGTAATTATATAGAGTGGCTATTTGTCTGTTCTTTACAACAGTAAGAGTAAAGTCTATTGATGTGATATATGCTGAAATTTTCAGAGGAAGTTGAGCAGCTAAGAAAGAAAGAACAAGAAGTAGAATCCAACACTCCAAATTGTGACAGGTATGGGAGGCAGTCGTACAGATAGTAACTTTTGTAAATTAGACTCCATGCTTGAATCCAGACTTTTCTGTCTATGTGACAGGTAGATAATCGCTGTAAAGTAAGTATGTAAATCTGACCTGGAAGGAGACAATCACCTACATGTCACAGGAAGGGGAGCTCAAGACACGCATACAGACAGTAAATCTGTAAATGTGACCCTGACAGTGACTCTGTAAATGTTACATGGTGGGGAGTTGATCATTCAGACAGGAATTTGGTGAACAGACAGGGAGGGGAGATATCACTTAGAAAGAAACTCTGTAAATATGACAGACAGAGGAGATTATCACTCAGATGGTGACTCTATGACTGTGACCGAAGGAATGACAAATCGTCTATAATAAAGTAACTCGGTAAATGTGAGAGGGAGGGAAGATGATCACTCAGATAGTTGCTTTGTCAGCAGACAGGGAGAAGATACAATCACACAGCTATTCCATAAATATGACAGAATGATCATGAATGAATAGACAGTTATTCTGTAAATGTGACAGGGAGGGTGGCACTCACTTAGATAATAATTCAGTAAATGTGACAAAGGGGGCACATACTTAGACAGTTACTCTGTTAATGTGATGGGCAGAGGAGATGATCACCTTGATAGAAACTCTGTAAATGTGACAGGGAGGGAGGCACTCACTTATACAATTATTCTGTAAATGTGACAGGGAGGGGCACATACTTTGACAGATTCTCTGTAAATGTGACAGAGTGGAGATAATCACCTTCATAGGTACTCTGAAAATGTGAAAGAGAAAAGGTAACTCATACAGTAAATGTGATAGGGAGTTATTACCCTTTGTAAAATTGTATTTCCAGAGCATAATTTTGCTTTCATTTGAACTAGTATAATGAAATTTAGTGTATACATTGGTTTAGCTAAGGGGAAATGCAGTGAGTGTACCAAATAAAGAGCTTCAACCTCATAATTACAGAGTTATGTCGGAAGCATAACTTTGCTTTCATTTAAACTTGAATAATAAAAATTTGGTGTATATATTCATCATTCTAAGAGAATGTGCAGTGTTCCCAACTCAGGGCCCAAAACTCCTTCATTACAGAACTACTGCCATTCATTAAAATTTGTGGCTTGAGTATAACTTTGCTTTTATTTGAACTCGGAAAATGATGTGTACTGTACCAAATTCAGGACCAAAACCTTTTGAATACAGATTTATTGCCCTTTGTTGAACATTTTATATCCAATCAAGTTATCTGGAAACAATCAAAAGTTTTATTGAAACTCTTGTATTGTGAGTTTTGCTTTATTTTCAGTGTTTGTGCTGATATGAGAAAAATGATCATTGGTGCTGTTGAGAAAACGATGGGCATCAATGCTGTACAAACCCTTCACCTAGCTGGTGTAGATGTGGGTGAATATAAGGACAAGTTTGGGTAAGGGCAATTATTTATTTTCTTTTTTTTTTAAAAAAGAAGTAATGTATATATATACATATATATACTAAAACGAAAAAGAAACGCAGTGTAACCTAAAAAGATTCTTTTAAATGATGTAATTTAATGTTACATTATTTCATTCATTTTTGTATACAATTTCATCTGTTTGGAACCATTTGTTGAAGGTTCTATTGATTATCAATGCTATGCCAAAAATATCCCCCTTTTAGCGATGACCCTACTTGTATTGCACAACATGGCCGGACATTTCAGTATCTTGTGTGTCCTCCATGCGCAGCTGTCGCAGCCCTGATTCTTCTATGCATGGAATTCATCAGGGTGTTAACCCTTGCAATGGGGATGTTATTCCATTCTTCATGCAAGGCACGTGTGAGCTGGACCAGATTAGTGGGGGGCATTTGGACGTCTCCTAACTCTCCTATCCAATTTGTCCCACAAATGCTCAATTGGAGACAAATCTGGACTAAATGCTGATTGGGATTATGTTATTGTTGGCAAGAAATTGCTGACAAACTCTAGCGACATGGGGCCGGGCATTGTCTTGCTGGAATATCAGGTTCCGTGCTTGCACACATGGCATGGCAACTGGGCGAAGGATTTCGTCTCTATACCTTACACCGGTTAAATTACCATCAATCACGATCAGGGGTGATTTAAACCCATAGGAGATACCGCCCCAAACACATACTGAACCACAGCCAAACCTATCCCGCTCAGTGACGCACGCGTCAATGTAACATTCTCCTCGACGTCGATATACACGACGTCGCCCGTCCAAACGGTAGAGTGAACCGGGATTCGTCAGTGAAGAATACCCATCTCCATTGCCGCATAGGAAAATTTCTGGGCGCGTGTGCTTGTAACCAAGCCAATTGGCGTTGGCGACGTGCAGGAGTTAGGGGCAGACCAACATAGGAACGTCGGGCTCTTAGGCCATTGACGTGTAATCGGTTTCGAACCGTATCAGGATGAATATGGTGGTTATGACTGCCTATAGTGTTATTTGCAGTTTCGGTAGCTGTGAGATGGCGATTACATAAGTGAGAAAGTCTTATAAACCGATCCTGATGTGGCGTCGTGACGCGCGGACGTCCACTTCGCGGTCAGTCGATGACCCTCCCTGTCACTCGCACATGTTGGACAAGACGTTGAATTGTCCGAATATGTACACCAAAATGTGCAGCAACCTGAAGTTGGCCCTGACCCTGCAAAAGCATTCCTATAGCCTGTCCCTGCTGGACTTCCGTCAATCGTGGTATGGATGTAAATTGCTTAATTCGAATCAAACTTTGAAAAATCAATCCGAATACTTGAACAGTATCAAATAGACTAAAAATTTCCATTGGCGAACTCAATGACCTTCCCCTGCACGGGATTCTTGTATTTTAGCAGGTGCCTCGCATGGAGCGCGGAGGTCAGGTATTGTGTGATTTTAAACATGTGTACCTAGTGACCGCGAACAACACATCAACCTGACCGAGTGTCATTATTCTAGGCCAAGCAATAAATCATTTGTAGTATATTTAGTGTACCCGGCATTTCTTTTTCTTGTTAGTATATATAATTCTAAATATGATCCTCTCACATGTATATGCACTCTTTCAGTGTAGAACTTATGCTGTTGTTGATAAATGTGGCCATTTTCTACTTTAGTTTGACCATGGAATTATTAAAGGCCTTCTTTTAAAAGTTTTGGTACCCTACGAAAAGTAAGTTTGAGAAAACCAAGTAGCAGCTAACAACATCTCAGTCATCAGACGAAAGTTTTACTTAACATATGTACCATCTAGGGACTTCCTAGTTATTTTGGTAATTGCCTCTTGGGTTTGACTTTGATTTTTTTTTTTTTTTTTTTTGTTAAATTGGGAAAAATAGTTATTTTAATTGAATTATTTCTGAGACACTTTTAAAATTAAGATGAAGGGAATAAAACCAAGTTAAAAAACAAGAGAGTACTCATATCAAGTTTTTGATAGAACCGTAATTCTGACTAAAACTGGATGGATGCCTATGCAACAACATCAACGTGTGAATCAAGGTTGATTCCAGGTTATTCAGATGAAAACTTGACAAGTTGTAACTAAGCATTTCAATGTTTAGCATTGAAAGACTAACTGATGTTGCTTCCTATTGGAGTTGAGAGAACTCTTTAATTACAACAGTTTTATGCATGCAAGGAAAGTTCACAGATGATCATGATTTGTGATCATTAACAAGGAAAAAATCTGTCTCATTGTGGAAATTATAAGACATTCATGGATTGAAAACACTGCTGATATTTGGGGTAATTTATATAGACAGGAAAGTCCTTGTAATATTGACACTGTAACTTTCCCATTGTTTAGTTGTTCTAGGTGACGCCATATGAAACCAAGAGGTCCATGGGTCTTAAAAGTCAAAATAAGTTGAATTTTTAGTTTTAACAAAGGACAAGCACAAACTTCACAATACTGCTTTATCCAATATCTAGCAAACAGATTAAAGTCTGCAGAGTACTGTTTGTTGCAAGTATGGATTTGAAGGACATTGCAGAAAGTTGAAGAAATCCAACTCTTAGGGCCTTTACTGAAGTTTTAAAAACATTGATATTCCTTGACAATGAAATTCCAATCTGTTTTGTAATTCCAACTGAAAACAAATACAAAGACTCAAACAATTGACCCCTATGCATTCACTTGAACTAACTTGGTAGCCCTTCATCTCGCCATGCTATAGGCCCAATATCAGACCTCTGGGCCTTTGGATTATTGAGAAGAAGTTGTTTGAAGATTTTAAAGTATTTGTCCTTGTTATCTAGAAAGTGGGTCAAGGTAATTTATTTGAGCAAAATTTTAGCCCTTCATCTTGGCATGCTACATTCCCAATATCAGACCTCTGGGTCTTTTGGTTATTGGAAAGAAGTTGTTTGAAGATTTTAACACATTTGTCTCCTGTGACCTTGAAAGTTAGTCAAGGTCATTAGTTTGAACCAACTTGGTAGCCCTTCACCTCAGCATGCTACAGAACTCTAGGTCTTCTGGTCATTGAGAATTGAGAAGAAGTAAGAAATATTACTTGGTAACAACAGATGACACACTACAAATGACGCTTGATGAGGGACTAAAGATAATCGCAATAAAGAATGATAATAAAAATCACAAACCTGATATAGCCTATTGAGGTCAGTCAAGTCTACATCATTGTTAAGGCACCTTTAGAATCAGAAACTTTTTCATAAAATCATTTAGTATTAACAAGAAAAGTCATGGATATGGAAACATGTAACCACCCATACAACCAATTTCATACTACTTCTGAAGTGAAGTTGTAGTCTCTTTTCTCTGATTTAGAAGTGTGTTGTGGACAGCCTTTTCTCATATAAGTGAAAAATAACGCTTTTTGATTAAGTCATGAAACAAACAATTTTGTACATGCGATTTCCATGGGGTATTTTGTAAATCTGGCTTCCTGTTACTGTATTGGTTTTGTAAGAATAATGAATTCAAGCTTGCTAATACATGTCATCATGGCACATGCCTGCAGAATGCTACTGTTGTTTGTATGATTAAAAATATTAGCATCCCCATGAAGTAGTTATTGATCTCCATGATGAATGTAGTTTTCTTTAGGAATATAAAGTGATTAGGATCTGGTCAATTTTAAATTGTTTAGATGAAAAAAATCATCCTTTAGAACTGATAACCCATTGTTTCTAATAACCAGGTCGCAAAACCAGGCAGAACAACCTCAAAATCCAGTCGGTGGTGAAGTGAAAGATGCACAGATGCCAGTTCAGACTCAAGGGGGTGAGAAATCGGAAAACTCTGTGAACAATCAGCCTGGTCAGGTGGTAGCTGATCCCAAACAACCTGCTGAAACAAATGCTTTACCACAGGGTCAGGTTAACCCCAAGGTTGATGTGCTTCCAGTTGCTCAGGGTCAGGCCCAGTCGAATCCCAACCTTAAACCCCAAAATTCAGACCAAGCTGCAGCTAATCCTGTTCAAAATGCTAATCTTCCTGATAAACAAAATGAGGCAAATATTATTCCTCCAGGCCAGTCCAACCCTGATATTCCCAACCCTCAAGTGAATCACCAAGTTCCACCCCCAGACAACCAACCCCAGGAACAGGGACAGCAGCAAGGTTTGTATCCACATAGGCTTATAGGCTGTTGGTTTAGTCACAATATGTTGCTCTTAATGTCACTTTATTTCTGTGCAATTCAACCTAATACCTGTCATTAGACAGATACCTACAGGAATCAGTTTACATTGTACAAGAAAATTTTCCATTGAAATATCTACCCTTATGTTTATTATTGTAATTTAGATAAATTTAGACGACAATTCTTTCATAGAATAGGGTCTAGTCAAGAAATTAACAATACAGACAAAGTTAAGAACTTGACACCATTCTCATAGATCTTGGATGGTTTTAAATTGTGTTGACATGTTTTGGCATACTTGGTATGTCGTCTGAAGATGCAGAAATAAGTCAACACCATTGAAACCTGTCAATATCTTATGAGAATGTTGTCCATTCTCTATTTCGTCTACATTGTTCAGAATAAAGTTAGTATTACATGTATTTAGTTTAATTTTAGACCAATCAAAGCCTTGCTAGTCTGGTTTGAAAAACAAATCACCATTTTGTACATTATTGTTAAAACATTGCACTATATTATGTACAACATATGCGTGTATACAGTTTATGTAATATGATATAGCACATTTACTTTGTAATGAAATTTAAGTTCTAGAGCGTATTTGGAAAAGAAACCATTGAAAATTTCTTATAGACGATATGATATGCACGGTACACATGCACCAACATGGTTGTTTTGATAAGCAAAATGATCACAATAATTGAGAAAATGAATGTGAAAAGATGATTTACAGAATATATGATTTTCACTAAAGTATAACACTCCTTTTGAAAAAATGGATTTGATTGGAGAAAAATTATAAGACCAGTAAAATAATAGAGATTATGATAATGGATTTCAATTTCTGTGATATATACACCAGAAAGATATGATTTATACTTTAATTTGAATACATTGGAAATGCAAGGGAGGTATACATACAAGGGCATACTGGTAATTAAAACATGTGTAATGTAGCAACCAATAGGAAAGGTAGTCAACAAAGAGAAGCACTGCTGAGAGGAGACATTTTTTCTCAAAAGATGTGATATTGAATATTGAAGTTATAGCTATGTGTTAAAACATATGTAGGAACATGGCCAGCATTGTGTTTGACATATCTAAAAGGTGGTATAGCTTTTCCTGCTTTCCTTAATCGGCAACACTTTGTAAAGACAATGATATCAAAAAGCACACATAATCTTTTGCATTCTATCTTTCCTGCATTAGCATAGTAATATTTGTCAGGATTATCACAATGGCTTATATTTTTGAAGTTCATATGTTTCCTATTTGAAATACTTTATCTATATCTTGTATGAATCACAATACAATATACTATAGGCACATACTAGCAAGTGCTCTCACAGCCAAAACATGCCTTAACACAAACAAAGCAAAAGCCAGTAGCACAGGATCCAAAACAGATACAAGCACATGAGACTTATGTCCCAGCACAGTCAACACAGAACAGAGTTCAAAACCCACAAGTAAATCATAATGGTAGTAGCAATGGCATTTTAAAAACAAAGACATACCCACAAGACCAGACTCTGAGCCAGGCTGGTGATGGATACAACACCATCTGTTTCACAGGCGACTATGTACAAATACTGCTGATTTTTCAGTTCCAGGTAACCCTGACAACAACCCTGATGCAGATGCTGATGATCAGGTACAGCAACCTGGTCAGGTGGGGGCTAATGTAACTAAATCAATTCCAAACATAGCAGACACTCTTCATAAAAATGTTCTTAATCCAATCATTTCAAATACTTCTCTCTCTGGGTTAGGTGACTTTGGTAAATCACTTTCCTTAAAGGCTGCAGAAATTGCAAAACAGCACTTGCAGGGAAATCTAGATCAGCTTAAAAAAAGAATTATTGGTAAAACTCTAGACCAGGTCAATCCGAAAGTATCAGATCAAGATCAGTCAGATAGAAAGACCGAAGGTCAAGGTCAGGGAGACAAAAAGACATTGGGTCAAGGTCAGGCAAATCTAGATCCAAGAGAAGCAGGAAAAGAGGAAGTGTCAGCTGAAGTCAAGCCAGCTGAGGTCAAGCCTGTTGAGACCATTGATAAGGTGGTAGAAATAAACAAGGCTAAGTTAACCACAAAATCAAAAGGCATACCTCAGAGCATGGCAAATCAACAGAAGAAGGACAAAGATAACTATGATGATGACTATGATGGAGAAGATGAAAAAAGGATGGGTCAAAAGGGTGACGGCAAAGTGCTGGAGGTAGATTTAGTTTAGGGTATGGAGGGATGCAAGCTAGCAAGAATACTTCAAAGGATAAGTAACAAACAAAGCAAAAATCACTGTTTTGGAAGATACACAGTAATACAAGAAAATTCATTTCTTTCTAAAACTATATTTAGGCTGTTGGTGCGTGTTATTACCAGGTGTGAAGAATTGACCTGGTCCAGATGATCATTTTTTTGTTTTGTTTCTTTTTGTTAGTGTGTTTATTTAAACATATTTCAATTTGAAAATTTGAAAGTAAAATGCAATGGAGATATAAAACAGTTTTAAGCTTTTTTAATGCAATAATCCCAAAATGAACTAACATTTTATTGTATCTGCCTAGTTTGAAGGACTTAGTCCCATAACTCAGATCCTTAGAGAACTAGGCTTGTACATGTATATTGTATCTGCCTAGCCTGAAGGACTTAGTCCCATAACTCAGATCCTTAGAGAACTAGGCTTGTACATGTATATTGTATCTGCCTAGTCTGAAGGACTTAGTCCCATAACTCAGATCCTTAGAGAACTAGGCTTGTACATGTATATTGTATCTGCCTAGCCTGAAGGACTTAGTCCCATAACTCAGATCCTTAGAGAACTAGGCTTGTACATGTATATTGTATCTGCCTAGCCTGAAGGACTTAGTCCCATAACTCAGATCCTTAGAGAACTAGGCTTGTACATGTATATTGTATCTGCCTAGCCTGAAGGACTTAGTCCCATAACTCAGATCCTTAGAGAACTAGGCTTGTACATGTATATTGGAAATATAAACATGTAAATGATATAGAATCATGCACAGGATGAACTAATACAATAATGTGGGATATACCAGTGCCACTTTCTATAGCAAACAGTGATGTATGGTGTTGCATGTCTTCAGTAAAATGCGTGCATGTAAATGTTGTATATATACATCATAAAATTTGGATCTTTAGTTAGAAAATATTTGTAGGGAACACATAATGACGTATCATATACTTGATACTCTTAGATGTGTAACTGGTTTACAATGTAGCCAGATTGATTTCTCATTTAAAACATAAAATGATCACATTCCATACAGATGTGTCGGATGTGAAACATACAGAAACATCATGACAAACAAGTATCTAGTATACCTTGTGTTTAATCCAAGGAAACAATGGCTACTTGGTTTGCATGTCATTATTACTGCATGAAGCAAGTTTGACTACCATGTCAGTGTTTCCGTGATTTGTTTTTTTCCCTGTGATATTCAACCATTACTAGATATGAAATATTCCAGCAGTAATTTTATAAAATTTGGAAACCCGTTTATTAGATTTTCTTTTACAGAGGATAAGTACCTTTAATTTGACAAAAGTCAGAAATTTCTAATAAAATGTGATATGCAACATCAGAAACAGAATTTCTTTGGTGTCAAAGCTTTTTGATGAAAAAAAACTTCAGTGTATTTAGTTTACACATAGTTGTCCTCCCATGTAAGAAGTTTGGTATATGTAAGACACAGTTTGTGAAAAGATATGCATTCAGATATCCTAAACTGTGAACATGATGTGTCAATTAGTGCAGCATTTTAGTTTCATCAGTCAGATCTGTTTGGTCTTGCATGCTTTGTGTTGTTATTTGTTTGTTTTAATGTGTTAACAGATTTTCATAAAATTTCTGCACACCTAATAAATTCACATTACTTATGAAGAAATATGTATTGCAGTTGTGTATGTTGCACATTAAAACATTTTCAGTAAATGTTTTTGTATAACGTGTACTGCTTCAATAAATACAAGCTTGTTGGCATGAGAACTGAAGACACTTCAATATGTTATAAATATATAAGTATCCATATTTTCAACAAGAGAATGGCATCTTGGTTGCAAGAAAAATCCCCCTTTGCCTCTTTACTGCCTCTGACAGGTAGCTAGTTCTATAAATGATACTAAGAGAGTATTACATGCATGAGTTTTGTAGAAGCATGTATTTGTTTTAAATCAAATTGATTTATTAAAAAATCGCAGAGTTTATCACTATTACAGTTATTGTAGATTTTTGACTGGATAGGAAATTCAGAGATTTACAGTGAAACTTGCCTTCACAAAAATTTTATGTTGATGTTACGGAATCCTTAAAAATGTGGAATGTCAAGATCTAGATGTGTTAATATAATCACTCCTACTTATTTTTATTTTTCCTTATGTTCAAAATCTTCTTTTTAATCCTTAATAAATCTCCATATCCATATCAGTTATAAGGTATTCTTTGTACAGATTCCATTTTATAAATGTTTCAGCAAGTTACATTTAATATTTTTGTCATGATTATCATTGCAATTTACATTAAGGAGGAACAGGCTTGAATTTTGTTATAGAAATAAATTGACATTTGGAATTGATCTAATTAGACAGCAGTGGTTTTGCTATGGTAGTATATGCTAGCTTGCATCCCTAGTATTGCATGTATATTCCTTTATTCATTATTTATTATGGTACTTTGGTGTCTGATCATAAGTTCAAGAGACTGAAAATGAGAATGTTCAACAAACAACAAATTTGTCATCTTATTCAACAAGTCTTAAATTTGTCATAGAATAGATGTTGAAATTGTTGTAAGATCTGGATTTTAATTATCTTCTTTTTTATTTTTAGCAGTATTCATTGAATGGTCTCTTAAGCTTTGTAAGAACTTCCATGTTCAAAGTGTTTTTAAGCTTACCAGAATCAATTCTTGTTAAATATTAAAATACTACTCTTTGCAAAAAATGAATATAATTGAAATTATGTGGGATATAGGAAAAGCATTCTGTGGACATCAAAATTTGAATGTTTAGCTCAGCAGACTTTGATCTTTGAACTTGGATGTTTACTTTGCATTTTATTAAAGGACTTTCATATTATAATCAATAGTTTATTACCAGCGGCCTTGTTTGTGACATTATATGTAAAATGTAAAGGAATATTAAATACGACTTAGGAATGTTGATAACTGTTATATTTAAATACGTAATGATAGGAAGAGTATGATGGAGGGGTTATTTGTTGTTATCAGACCAAGGAATATTGTATCAGCTGAGTCAGGAACTTAAAGCAATGACATTTTACTCCTCTTTATTGAACCACTTAGAAAAAATTAGGGACTTTTACTAGACCAAATTACTTGAACTTCTTCCCATATTTTATGATGTGATTAAATCACCTCAGTATGAAGGTTACATTTTATGTTTAGTCTAGTTAGACAACTTTGATGCCTCTGTTCGTACTTTGATGCCCCTATTCATACGTTGATGCCCCTATTTGTACTTTGATTCATACTTTGATGCCCCTATTCGTACTTTGATTCATACTTTGATGCCCCTATTCATACTTTGATGCCCCTATTCGTAATCCACTGCATAACTTTGAATTGCCTTATGAATATTAAAAGTGTAGAACACTGGTGAGTATTTCTTGATGAAAAAACATATCTGGATGTGCAAGGCCTGTCAGAGATAGATGTGATATGATGCAACTGTTCAAATTGAAAGCTAAGTGAACTTTAATTTCTGTACTGGTTAGGTATTGAAAAAAAGGACTTTGTTCATGTCATAACGACATTTAAGGTTACACAGTATCACAAGAATTAAAAAAAAAATGGCGGGGATGGGGGTTCAGAACTAGTGAAACTTATGATGTGATGGTCAGGATAATAGAAGTGAAGTCCATTAATTAATTGCCAGATTAAAAATTGTTTGTTGTATTGCCATTTAGCCTATGCCTTGGTGTGAACATGACACACTGCCAGTGTCACTAGTTACCTGTTATGTGTGATTTAATTTACTAACGAATTGTTTAGGAAATTACATATCACTGTGAAATCCCTCATTTTGATTAAGAGGAAATTTTACAATTGTGTCACAAAAAAAAAACAAAAAAAAATCCTTGATTTTGGTATTAAAAACATTAGATTTATTAAAATCTACTTACAATTTTGTTGTCAAAAAAAAGATAGAAAAAAAAAAAACAAAACAATAACAAATACCTTCATTTCATTATCAAAAAATACCATTATCTTAAATCTAACAGAACTTTTCTACTGGTCATGGAATATCTGAATTCATGAGTTATTCATGTGTATCTGGGAATCAATATAAGAGTATATAAGCTCACCTGGAATAATTATGATTTCACAATAATGTATATGTAGGGTATTTGGATGTTACTTCACTAACTGGAATCTTTATTGAACTTGTATGTACATATAACAAATAAAAATAGTAATACTTTCTCTCTTCCGGCATTACTCTCTCCTTACACTGGTTTGGTAAAATACTGCAAATGGCATTTTGATTTTGAACAATACTTTTTAAAAAGAATGGAATTACTTTTGCAACATGGCATTAAAAATTGGCACAAAAATAATCTCATAGAATATATTATTAGTAGAATGATAAAATCATGTCATAATTGGTTTAAAAACAATCTTGTAATGATTACATTGTAACATTAATTAATTATACTTTATGTGAATATAATCAGCATTGTGTTTTTTATATTGTGTATACAATGTACAAATCAAGTAATGTGATAATAAATATATCTAATGTTTGTGTTTTCTCAGGACAACTATGATGACGACACTGATGGTGGAGATGAAAAGTTGAAGTTTGTTCCTGTGAGTATCTTAGGATTCCACTTTGAAGTACAGTGAATATGTAAATTATTGAATGATACGACATATGATAGATCTTGAGGAGATGATAGTCCAATTTATTTTAATATTCCTTTGACTCTTCATTCATCAACTTCAGATCAATGTCAATTTATGAATCTATCTCTTTGTAGTCTCTCCTTATTTGTTTGTCATCAATTATGTCCTGTAGATATGAAATCAAAACAATGTTTTTTTTTTACCTTAAAGCTGTGTTCATACTTCACTACTGCCACAAACATTTGTGACGTATGTCTTGTCTGTGTTTTTTTCCTTGGCCTATTTTGTTGATTTCTCTGTAAATAATTGATCCGAGATATTGACCACATTAAAGTTAATTATGAAATTCAAGATGGTCATCATTACTGCAATCTTTGACAGATATTTTAATGTTATTTTCCAATGTGTATTTTGTAAATGATTCCAATAAGACACTGATTTGTTTTATTTTGTATGTATATATCAAATTTCAGGGAAAAGGAAAAGCTGACGATGTTAAGACAGCAGATGACAGTATCGACACTCTCAAGAAGAAAATGCAATTTCAGGATCAACAAAAATAATCAGTTGTTTTAAAATATTCCATTTCATGATTGTGATAATACACAAATATAAAGTTGTGATATTCTAAAATGAGAAAGAAAAATATTTAGAAATGCAAAATATCAAGGATGAATTCATCCTCAGTAATATTTTTACCGTATTATATCCTGAAAAATTGAGAAAAATCTCAATGTGGATGTCGTATTCTTCAAAATTATAGTAGTTCTCCTTTGGGTTGGTTGAAAGAATGCTTAATAAGTCCCTTAAAAGATTCCTATTAAATGAATTCCTACAGCAGTATTCTTCAAATATACAAATTTCAATACCTTTTTAACTAACAATATACAAATTTCAATATCTTTTTAACTAAAAAATATAAAAGAAAACAAAATTCAGAACATTTTGTTTTACCTGTGTTTCTACATCCTTGACATCGAACAATTCATGTGTATAATATTTTGATTTCATTTATTTGTTAACAGTTTGTTATCACAACTGACAGTAAATTTAAGTGGTTTAACCTCCTAAAGCATTCTTTTCATCAATAAGATGTAGTGTCATTTATTCATTTTATCACAGTTACAAACTGTTGATTTTAATAATAGAGCGGTGTACAGACAAAAAAATATCATGCCATTCCTATTTGTTTTTCTCCGCGAAATTCCTGTTAAATTCATAATATTTTGACTTAAATGCCATTATTTGATTAGTACTAATGGCCATAAAAAGTTTGACAGAAGTAAGTCTTGTCAATTTTGATGATCTCTTTGTGCTCGGTTGACATGAAGTTGGTACATACAATGAACCAGCAGCCTTTTTTACCTTTGAAAGAATAGGGAGAAACAATTACCCACATTATATGACTAGTTCCACTATTTTCCGGGACTTATACCTGTTGTGCTTTTGTTAACTTATCAGATAAGTTCTGACTTTCTCTCTGCAATATTAACTCTTTTTTTTTTCTTGGTCACTTTCGATAATGATAATGAAAAAAACCGAAAAAACTAAATTGTGGATAAATCGTCAGCACTATCAGGACTGATGTTTATATACATCTAAATATATAATAGACATAATTTTTTTGTGTATAATTTGAATTTTAAATGTGTTGAATTTTGTGGTTTTTGTAATTTTATGTGTGTGTGTTCATATTGCTGAATGATTGTGGTCTATATATACAACAAGAGATTTTGATTGGAAGGTGACATACATTGTAAGCAGCTTCTCTGATCTGAGATAATTTTAAATGCAATATGTAAGTATACACACAGTGGGTTTACATAGTTGTTAAGTATGTTTTATCAATTTTCTTGTGGGCACTCCTTTGGTGAAAACAGATTTTTTTATTTAGAATATGAATTTGACATCTAATGTATTTAAATAGATGTTTTTTTTAACTTAAAACGCTATCATTCACATGCTTGGGGCTTTCTGCTCATTCTCTTTCAACCTCGTTCAACGTGCAGTGAAAATATTGGCTGCATAGGTTACTCTAAAAAATTGCAAAAATGATCATATTTACATTGGGAATCATGTCATTTACTGTAAACTTTACAAAATTAAGTAAAAAGAAAAAAAAATGTTTTTGATTTGTTATTTGCAGACAGAAATTAGACTCCTGTAATAACATCAAAACAATGTACAATGAATCCCATCATTATTCAATGAAATTGAAGTTTTGTTCACTTGTTTCATATCAATTTTATTCTGTTTTCTATGGTGTGAAAAGGATGGCTGTACCTGGCTTTTTGTTATTTCAAGTTAGGTGAAAACATTTTTAAATGCAGTTACATATTGAATAATGTTTGGAATGCTTCTACTGAATATTGTATCTTTGAGAAATTGATTCAGATTTGTGAGCAAATGTTGCCATCAATATATACTGTTTTTTTTTAGTTCCTACTTTCATATACATACAAGTGAGAATATTAGCCCCTGATTCTGTGTAATATATGTGAATGATGTTTCTACAGAGCCTTGAAGCTTGAGTCAGTTTTATCTTACTTCCTAATGCTTGATGCATATGTGTTTAGACAAGGATCTAAACCTGGAGTGTAAATTTAATGAAAGGCATGTAAAGTGTTTGGTAGCTTAAAAATCTTATCCCGAGGGTCATGATTCTCCTTTCTTATCTCAAAGAGGGGAAATTTTTATTTTCCTTTTTCCTGTTTGATGTCCATTTATGGAGGTTGTTACCTCTATGCTATGCATGTTGATGTGATATTGAATATGATGTGAGGTAATAAAATTGCTACGACTTAGCATTTTCCCTGTCCCTACCCTAGCAAAATATTAACCATATGTAGTTATGCAAGATAAGAATATTTTACCTGAGGATAAAGAATACCTGAGGATATAGAATTTAGATTAGAACTCTGGCTTTGCTGAAGTTATATAACTTCAATTTATATCCCAGGGTCGAAAATCCATTAGATAACTATGTCTTTTTTTTTACTCATGCTCACCTCTTTCATAAAAATATGATAAATAGTGTTTTTGAAGCAACTACAACTATAGAACAAGTTATAGGTCAAATAAACTTAAGCCATATTTGGAAAGATCAGAAAAGTGTACTGAAAAGTATACAATATATCTAAATCTGAAAAACCACAACAAAATCTTCATAACAAGTTTTTGTAATGATTTAAAGTATTTTGTTCATGATCGTCATGGCAGGAATGTGATATTTTGAAGGGCTTTCGATTTTGACATGTTGTTGTCACATTGTGATGTCATAAGATTAAAGGCCACTTTGTGTGCTCAAGTGGGATTAATAAAACCCTTTACACCTTTGGGGGTGAGATTGGGGGATCTCACCTTGATGGGGAAGGTTACTTAGTTGGCAAAGACAGAATCTATCGAATTGTATGCAACACAATAATCTGTCCCTAAAGGATGAGAGTTCTCTCTTTTACAACACAGGAGTGAATGTTCATTATTCTCTTACCTGCTTGCCATCTTTTATCTGTGTTGTTGTTACCCCAATGCTTTGTTGAAGTCACATCATAGTTGTAAAAAGAGAATCTAATCTCCTAAACATGAGGGAAAGACGGGGAAATTTCGGATACACCTGTCTGAGTAAGAATTATCCCACGAGGAAGTTCCACATCAAATATGTTTATCATTTACATATGTAGAGGATTGGAGAAGAATATATCTCACCTAGGGAAAAGTGTGAATCTATGTGTTCGGGGCAAGAGAAATAGTGTACCATGGTTGTCTGATATTTTTAGAAATTTGTGTTATTTGTATTAAGATGGAGAACAGATGTTCTGTTTGTAAATGATCTCTGTCTTCGATTTAAATGTTCGGAAAACTCCAAGTGTGAACCAAGCAACAACATTCCAAACTGTTGTACATTTAAGATGTGACCTTTGGTCACTTAATCTGTGTTATTTAAGGTCAGCAGCCTTCCCACTTTCACAGTGATTTGGTAGCAATATAGATATGTATTATAGTCTGGGAAAAGTAGGTTTCAATAACAATGATACCTCTTTCATAAATCTGGATACTGTCCTATTCTGGACTTAACTCCATGATAATGGTCACTATAGCAGTAACCATAATTAATTCTGAAAATTTTTGGTGCTGCATGACGACGATGAAAAGTTACTGTAATATGCAGATTAGTGTACATATCAGACTGAATTTGTGAGTTGCAGATTGTGAATTTATTCAAACAATTGGACTTTTGTATTCCTGATCGTGATTATTGTATATGCTGTCAAGATTTCATTACCCAACTCCTGTAAATCTAAATAGATGTAAATTAGCTATCTGCTTGAGAAGTTGATGAACAAATTATTTTTGAATATTTATTGAACACTTGGGCATGAAATAAATTCATTTTCTCGTAACTCAGTGATATTTCTTGAGGTCATCCAGTCTTCTATGGTGTATGTAATTCTTTATAAAAATCATACTTATGAGATGTTAACAAAATACATGCCCAATAAATCATTTGCCATTTTCTTTGGTGCCAAGATTACATATTATGTATTGTAAAATATCTCCTTATGTATACTGTCATAACTTTTACTAACAGTTATTAGTAAATTACATATTCCTTGAAAAGATTTTTATGACTTAACAATTTTACATCAATAAGCATTTACTGATAACATACATATTTCAGTGGTAATCTTATTTTAGCACTTTTTGCTCTGAAGTATTGCGCTTAAATATGGAACACTAATTCCAGTTTCTGTATGTTGTTTACATAGCAATCATTGTAGATGGGCAAATTGATCATTATATAAGTTTCCCAGAAAGTGTTCATGCATTGAAATTGGATTGCCCAAAATGAAGTACATTTACAGTATCAAACCTAATATTGTGATATAAAATCACTGCTAATGCAATGCTTACAGTCTTCTTTGAAGCTAGAAACTATAAATGAATCTTATTTCTGGTCTGTTGTGTCAATACTGCTTTTAACGCCTTAACATTTAGGTAAATATAGAGAGTGTGAAGTATTGAGAATGAGATCTCGGACTATTTAGGAGGTCAGTATCAATAACATCATAAAAACAAAACAACAATCATATAATTCACATAATACTATCGGTGAACTATAAAATATTTTCTTTTTTTTCAAAGATGTATTTCATAAATAACTCCTTCTTGGGGATGAAATAAAACATGACCAGATATCTGTTATAAATCAATTTATTTCAACTTGTCATTAGGACCAGAGATCAAATATATATACATATGAGAACTTGGTACTCAACTGTATTGGGAAGTTTTATGATTATTTTTTATGTAGCTTCAGAAAGCAATTTCTTTTTGCAAAAATCTTTATCGATGTATATCAGTATCTTCATTTTCTATTTAGATGAAAAAATCCTTTCTAGAAACCATTTACTTGCAGAAAAGTACCTGTATACATCAAGTACTTGTTTAAAATGGGCACTGTATAATGGTTCAGTTAAATGTCTACAACTGTAGACATATGCTCAGATACATGACTTATGTATTTGGTCCTCATTTTATTATATGTGTTTTGAAAATCATATTTATAAACTGTGAGAGATATAGTGATTGTATTATAGAAATCCTGGAGGTCAATTAAAAGTGAAAAGGTGATAATGGTTTTTGTGTCTTTCTTTGCATGGAAAAAGTAGGCAGAGATAGAGCTAAGACTGGGTAAGCATGAAATGGTGGGCAATGGGCCCTCGGTCTGGATACCCAAAAGTATGCAGGATGTTTGATGGAAGAGTGAATATCACCAAGGGAAGAGGGCAAATGACAATTAATTGATGAACCCGGCCTCTCCACCTGTTGAATTTGACATCAACTATTCATTTTTTAAATGGTTAACAAACTGTTTTGCCTGCACCACTAATGAACAAGTATTAATTATTAATTAAGAATCTGGATAAAATATATGGTACTGTATGATAAATACAAAGTAAAACAATTCAATTAATTAGCAGTTTTACTTACAAAACAGGAACAGTCTCTTGTTTTCACAACATTATTAAAGACTGACTAGAATAACTTGTCTGGTTGACCAGTCTGACCATATGATTTTCAGTTCAGCTGATACGCCTCAAGAGAGTACTGTTGGCATACTCTAGTAATTAATGTAACTGCCGAATTTGAATATTCAAGACTAAGTTCAACATTACTAGTTCTGACAAATCTAGAAATTGCTTTGTGGAAATCTTCAATATTATATATGCATTACTTTATCATAACTCATCGATTACAGATGAGGGAATATGTTGCATAATCTTTTTTACTCGAGGCCATGGGCGAGCAGTGAACTTCTTTTTTTTTTGAATGATTGTTCACAAAATGAACTCCTATGAATAACTGAAAATATCGTTCCAATGCTTGTACCTGAAAAGCAATATAATCATTAGATCTTTCTTGTACCATAGGATGACAGTTTGACTCAACTATCATATAAGTAGCTCATCTACTTGAAGTCACTATATCAATCAAAAATATGACAGAGAAGACACACTGATAGAGCAAATTCCTTCTGGTTACACAGCAGAACTCCATTACCCTAAAGATAAGCCAGTAAACCAAACACATAACCTCTTAATAGGCAAAAATCAGACTAGCCTTTACACAATGATGAGCTGTGTTGAAGGATTCTCAGCATCATATTCAGTTACCATCTCTATATCCATACAAAACGTTTAATTACTATTTTACCTTATTCCCAACTAGTGTACTAGTAAATGCATACTTGTTTAAAAGACGAAAAACATTCCTATTTATTTTAATAGAATCTGTAAAAAAACAAATGGAAGTCAAAACAAGTGGCCCAAAGACTTGTACATCTTGTAGATCTCTGGCAACTTTGTTACATTTCCATGCAACAGTCCCAATCATAACAAATTAGCTTAATTCAAAATTGCACAAACGTTAGGCAGTGTTGCAATGGTGAAATGTATAAGTAAACACATGTGATGCATTAAAAGAACCCTATATTATGTCAAAATACATAATATAACAAGGGCAGTTCAGACGACTGTGCTTACAAATAACTGCAGTGACTGAGTTTTAGGCAGCAGTGAAAAAATATTTCACATCTGATATGGCTGGAATATTATCAGTTCACATTTTGACATGCAGTGTGTATTGGCTCTAGTGGTAACACACTCGCCTTTCACCTAGCCGTCCGGGGTTCGACTCCTGGAACGGACGTGAAAAGGTAAGGGTCACCTACCTGACCATGTGGGTTTTCCCTGGGTAATCTGGTTTCCTCCCACAATGAGACCCCTCATGCCCTTACATCCGGGTCAACAGGAGTGATTAGTATAAGTTGAAATAACTTGTTTCGCAATTGATGTAAAATAAACAAAGTTTATAGATTACAAATTCTTTAACACTATTTTGTTTTTTCGGAATTTGACCTAAAGAAGGGTTTAACTTAAAAAAAAAAAGACAAAATAAATTAAACACAATATTTTAAGGCTAAGTGTATTGTAAGCAGTAAGTAGAGTATGACAACCAAATTGCATTATTGAACATGTGGTATCTTTAGACTTTTCACTGGCTAAGCCATTTCTAGATGGCACTACCGGTACACAAATTCCCTCTACATCTATACATGTATAATTTCTCTGAAGAACCAGAGATCTAAAAACCAAAACATTTGGGATATACAAAGAAAATACATGACACCTACAACATATATTTATATATTATACACTTTCATCTTTCTCCATCCAGGCCAAAATACTGCTTATGGGAACATTGCAACACCTATTTAAAATTCAGACCGTCAAAACTTCAAAAGTTTGTTAAATCTATTCAGTCTTTGTTCACCTGATGTTGAGGTAATTATGTTGAATTGTACCTAATGTTGCATGTCAAAATAACTGCTCAGAGCGGAAATATAGTTCCACACTTCATTGGATATACAAAGCAATTTTATGAATTCTTTAAAAAATAAACCGTTTTCACAGGATTTAATTGATTGATGAATAAGTGCTTAACTATGATGAATGGACATAACCAAATGACAATATTTCTATTGCTTCATAATGTTCAGTAGGTACATAAACAAAGAATGGATTTCATAAAAGAACATACAACAACATGAACACATCTGACTACCGTCCCCTTACATAATAATGTTAATGAATATTGTGCATTAACAGTAACAAACAGACACTACTCTATAGATTATTCCACATAACATTGACTTAATGCCTTGTCTACCTGCCGTGTACCATATTAAGTATCTATTAGAAGACGATGCCTCTAATGTTAACTGAGGACGGCTTAGTGGTCCCTAAAGACTCTGACACCTGGAATAGATCTCCCTTACAGCTAATATCATGAGGACTTTCCAAGCTTGTATTTCCTCTTTCCAGACTGTGCTCTCTTATTGCCTCCTCTTCTGCTTGTATATCCATCTTCTGTTGGATCATCTGCAGATTTTTCTGGGTGTTTTGAACCTTCATCAGCAAATTCTGTAACAAAATATTCAAAGCAATAAAATATTGGCAGAACTGCCCGAGTTTCTGGTTTCCGGAATGTCCTATTTTTTTTGCCACTGACCTAATTATTTTTTTTTCAACATTTTGGCAAAACAATTACTCTAAAATCTTCATGCTGCATTTGATTATTTTTTGTTAACCGATCCCCAGAGCAAATGTCAAACATTTCTGGGAAGATGCAGTCCCTGGACTATCAAAAGTCTCTAGGACGTTAGTTCAGTTTTGTTATTATGGTTGGTGTTCAAAAGTACATATTTGTGAAGTTGTCAACTTATATCAAATGCATATCCTAAGTTTGATTCTACTTTAATGAACAGTAAATACAAGAAAAACTATCATTTTCAAAAATTATACAGCATCAATGTTTGCAAAGACTGATATTTTGCATGATAAGCATTACTCTGAAGGTTCTGACTAAGAATAAAAAAAACAGTATTAAAATAAAAACCTCAACTAACCGCCCTGAATTTTTTTCAGACAGAAACACAGGATTTTTTAGCCTAATCTAGAATGTTATTAATGCAAGTATTTTGCTAGTACCACATGCATAGTGATACATATCATGTTTAGCCAAATATTGGGTCCAAAATAATGTCACAGATATTTTCTTGTGATCTACAAGATATAGCCATAGTCATGTGATATTAGTTGAGATTCACAAACTGTATCATGAGGTATAAATGTATGATCAAATATTACATTTCACTTTTGTTTAGTTGTTTGTCCATAAACTGGAATCAATTATTAATAATATATGATGTAATAAGAATTCATGATAAGAAAAGGAGGTGAACTATTCAACTTACAGCATCACTTCTAAAATGAACAAAGTGATAAAATACATGCAGTCAATACACAAACCTTTCAAGAGATCAATAGGAGGTTCTAACAAGTTATCACTCTGCCAGTCACGCATCAATCTGAAGAAACAAGGGGAGATAAACAATAAATACCTTTTTTCTGTTAGTTTTGATTCACCTAGTATATTTTTCTACCACAACAAAAATACAATGTTGCATCATGTTAGCCAATTAATTAGATTAGAAAATGAATACTAATAACATATTTTAACCAAGTCTAGTCTTGAATTGTTAGTCTTAGAGTATCAGTGAAACTGATAAATGCTCTTGAAAACGACTTTATTGGACTGAAAATTTTAACAAAATTATTCTTTAATCAAATTGTTGCAGACATTGAATTTGATATACTGCACAGTCTCTTATTATGACCAATGTATACACAGTTTTATGATTCTAGTTTTAACGCAAGCAAAGCTATGCTCATGACACAAAAATTCAACAAAAGTCAATAACTTTGTACTAAGTGGTCATAAGTCTAGACTGCACCTTGAATTGTATCAATACATAACATTTCAATATCCTAATTTATATGCAGGCAAAGTAATGCTCAGGACACAAATTTTTAACAAAGGGCAATAACTCTGTTATTAAGGGGTTGCAGACCCTGCAGGGTTTTCCATAAGAGCCGGTCGCCGGCCAATTTGACCGGCTACTTTGATCATTTGGCTGCCTAAACCAATCCAGTTCCGTAATAATGTTCCATACACGACTACACGTACATGGCAGGCCAGCCTCCTACTTTCACTACACAGCCTACTACTAACAAAATTATGGAAAACCCTGCCCTGAATTTGGTACACTGCACATCATCTTAATATGATCAATATATCCACCATGTTTCATTATCCTATTTCAAATGCAAGCATTCTAAAGTTGTATTCCCGACATTAAAAAAAAATTCTTTAAATGCACAACATGTATTTACTTCAAATGTCAAATTGTAAGTTGTATAATATGATGTAGTGAACTACTTACTTAAATCCCTTCCATAGAAGTAGTGACAATAATAGAAATGCTAGCACCATCAATATCTGTAGAACAATGTGCTGTAATGTAAAACAACATTCTTATTATCTGGAGGACTAGTAATATAATGAGATGTAATGTAAAACAACATCATTATTATCTGGAGGACTAGTAATATAATGTGCTGTAATGTAAAACAACATCATTATTATCTTGAGGACTAGTAATATGATGTGATGTAATGTAAAACAACATCATTATTATCTGGAGGACTAGTAATATAATGTGCTGTAATGTAAAACAACATCATTATTATCTTGAGGACTAGTAATATGATGTGATGTAATGTGAAACAACATTATCTGAACTGGTCTGTTCTCTGAGCCTTTTTTTATTTGATTTGGAGGTTATGAACTACAGCAGTTTGGTAAGGCTATTCTCTTACTTCAATGACTGGCTTCTCTGCCATGAATTGGTCCCCTAATACAACAGCAATGCCCACAACCACTCCACCCGCAGCATACTTCCAAGGCTCCTGCTTCTCAGCTGGAGTTGAAAAATAATGTAATAATTATTCCTGATAAAGTCACATCAGGCCTGAATCAAACATTTTCTTATTAAGGTTCCTGTCACCTGCATTTGAACCAGGTGCTAATATCAGAATATACAGTAATAATTAAAATATTACAATGAAAAATGAAGTTAATGATGGACAAAGTCTGTAGTGTGTGTATGACTTAATATACTACACTCTGCTTTTGCATTATATTTTCCTAAGAAATAATGTTTAACAAATTTAAAGGAATGGTAACAAAATTAACCAATGATTACAAAATAAACAAGAGATCCCAGAGGGATCTTGGCGCCCACCATTTGAGGATCTGTTTTCAGTTCTTGAAGATTTGTTTATTTTTTTTTGTTTGTTACAGGTGTTGTAAATGTTCATGAACTGGTCTTCATTGAATGTACTCAATGATGGCACAAGATATTTTTATTAAGCACCTATTAGCAAATATCATTTGAAAAGGATCCCAAAGTATTATTAGATAGCAGTCAGTTACAGGTGGATAATGGACAATATGCTTGTGCTGTATTACTGTCGACATCCAAGATGGCTGCCTGTGGGCCACCTTGATTTCAAATCAGTCCAAAAAAGGTACAATGCACAACTAGGGACCAAGGGAAACCTGCATATGAAATTTGAGAAAGATCCATCCAGTACTTCCTCAGATATAGCAGTAACAAGATTTTACTATCAAAATCCAAGATGGCTGCCTGTCAGCCATCTTGATTTCGGATCAGTCCAAAAAGGTATAATGCACAACTTGGAACCAAAGGGAACCTGCATTTGAAATTTGAGAAAGATCCATCCAGTACTTTCCAAGAAATAGCAGTAACAAACTTTTACATTCAAAATCCAAGATGGCCACCTGTCTGCCATCTTGAATTTGAATCAGTCCAAGAAAGGTACAATGCACAACTAAAGACTAAGGGGAAACTGCATATGAAATTTGAGAAAGATCCATCCAGTACTTTCCAAGAAATAGCGGTAACAAACTTTTACTTCCAAAATCCAAGATGGCCACCTGTCGGCCATCTTGAATTCGAATCAGTCCAAAAAAGGTACAATGCACAACTAGGGACCAAGGGGAAACTGCATTTGAAATTTGAGAAAGATCCATCCAGTACTTTTCCAGAAATAGCGGTAACAAACTTTTACTTCCAAAATCCAAGATGGCCACCTGTCGGCCATCTTGAATGCGAATCAGTTTAAAATAGGTACAATGCACAACTAGGGACCAAGGGGAACCTGCATATGAAATTTGAGAAAGATCCATCCAGTACTTTTCCAGAAATAGCGGTAACAAACTTTTACTTCCAAAATCCAAGATGGCCACCTGTCGGCCATCTTGAATGCGAATCAGTTTAAAAAAGGTACAATGCACAACTAGGGACCAAGGGGAACCTGCATATGAAATTTGAGAAAGATCCATCCAGTACTTTTCCAGAAATAGCGGTAACAAACTTTTACTTCCAAAATCCAAGATGGCCACCTGTCGGCCATCTTGAATGCGAATCAGTTTAAAAAAGGTACAATGCACAACTAGGGACCAAGGGGAACCTGCATATGAAATTTGAGAAAGATCCATCCAGTACTTTTCCAGAAATAGCGGTAACAAACTTTTACTTCCAAAATCCAAGATGGCCACCTGTCGGCCATCTTGAATGCGAATCAGTTTAAAAAAGGTACAATGCACAACTAGGGACCAAGGGGAACCTGCATATGAAATTTGAGAAAGATCCATCCAGTACTTTTCCAGAAATAGCGGTAACAAGAATTGTTTACGGACGGACGGACGGACCACGGACCACGGACGCAGGGCGATTTGAATAACCCACCATCTATTAGATATATGGTGGGCTAAAAATACAGTAAACACAGAAGTTAAGAAGATATTTTCCAGTGAACTTATATTAACTATTACAGTAAGCAGTGGAGCAAAAATATGTTAATATAGATCAGATTACTTCTTTTATAGACGATGGGATATAATCACTAGAAACATTTACAAGCAGGTAATAATTTCTGCCAATAACAACGTAAACGTAGTAATGTATACCACAACAGCAATTTACTAATGTTCTCTGAATAAGTTAAAAGTCAGGTTCCATTACCTTTTCTGACTTTATTAACCTCTTTTGTTGTCCTTACAATCGCATCTTTTATTCCTTCATCTGTTGGATCCAACATCATCGCTTGCTAAATAAAAAGAAAACAAGTTCTGTAATAATATTAATAAGACCAACTTGAAATTATATACCAATTGTGCAACCTATTTTATCAGATTATTCAAGGATGACACAGTAAATACAATCTCATATTATGGAACATGTTAGTAAATGAAAATTAGGCAAACTAATGTAAAGGTCCAGTTATAGGACTTCTTCAATATTCTTCGTTTAAATGCAACATTGAATTGGATAGGAAGGATGTTGGAATACATCACATAAAATAGGATACAATATGTGAAACAAAGATTTCATTGTACATCAATATCTTGTTTTATTATACCTTTGCTATTTATTCTCTGTACTTTTCTACAGTGAATAAAGTCTGAAATTCCAGATGTTTGTCCCAGAACATTGGTTACCAGTCAACATCTTGATATTGACTGCTTTTGTCACAGCTCATTATTGTTCAGTACTTCCTGGTCATTACTCGATAATATCCTTCATTAAGCAATAGTGGCCACCCCTCTTCCCTATTCCCACTTTAAGAAGCATTGCTGACATCAGCTTCTGGCCCAATGTGTACATGTTGTCTGCCATCGTGGACAAAATTTGTTTTCTTACATATAAGAACGTATAACAAAACATTTATAGATTGGATTTTTGGCCAAGACTGGTTATACTGAACCCTCGGACCAAACTGTTGTCTGAGGCCGAAGGCAACAGTTTAGTCATCTGGTTTAACATAGTACATGTTGACCTCAAACCAAGTCGACAAATGTATATTACTTCAATACAGAATATATTGAAAATAACATACTATGATACATTCTCATTAAATATAATTTCAACATTTATAAAAAATATATATATCATAATATACAATATACATTACTTTATAAAAATGAACTCAGAAGTAAACTTGAAATATTAATTCATTTCCATTAAAGTCAATACTAAAAGTAAAATTTTTTTTAGAACAAACACAGTGGTATCAAAACTAGCAATCACCTTGTATGCCATTTGTGCAAGAGTATAATTTCCAACATTATATTCAACTTCTCCTTTTCTGTAAAATCCCTGAAAAACATCAGATTGATAACAATATATATCATTTATTTCATGATAAAAAAGCATACTTTTAGTAAGCTGACAGTACATATTATATAAAGAATGTATGGAAAATGTTTATCATTTACTGACATTTAGTGCAGCATAAAATGGCAGTCTATCACCCATTATATCTTAATAAACTTGACCTCTGACTGATCTTTATACGTCAATATACAGTTTCAAAAATTGAAGTGAAGCTGAATATACAAATTGTTAACAAGCTACTTTCTACATTTCTTATTTCTAATATCTATACATTACAACTGTATAATGTTAATCCCCCTTGAAGCTATGATGTAACATCATTTTAAACACCAATGGCAATAACCAAATCTAACATGTACAGCATAGAGTTTAAAAATGATTTATTTGTAAATACCTTAGGCCATGTTGGTTTCAACTTTATACACTCCTTGGCATCTTCCATTGCATAATAGTATTGCTGTAATTTGAGGAAAGCCAGAGATCTGTTGCTATACAAGAGATGATTTTTGGGATCCATTTTGATAGCATGGCTATAATGTAGAATAGCTTCTGAAAAATTTCCATTCTTTACACACTCATTTCCCTTGGCCTTCAAATCTTCTGGCTAAAAATGAAGAATTAACGTTGAATACATATCTATGAAGGGTAGTACATTGTAGTTCTAATTCCAATACCAAGATGTTTGTTACAAAACATAAATATAGGTAATTATAACAAGCTTAACAACTGAATATTGCAAAAGTCTCCCAGACATCAAACCACACTGCAATTGTAAATATTTATGATGGAGTATGTGTGGTGTGAAATATGCCTACATGTCTATATAATGACAAATATTATCAACTTGAACTGGAATTAAAACTTACCACACATTTTTGAATTTAGTCTCTTACACTAGAATAAACTTAAATTTTATAGATACACCTATGACAAATTTTAAACTCTTGGGAGCATTAAAAATGCTTCAGTCCTTTGAAAATTTTCTGTGGTACAGAAGTGTACAGAAGTATATTGTCACAAGATGATCATTTATTAAGTATGCATTGTTGTTTGTATCTGTGAGGGTGCCTTGGTAGCTGTGAATACTAATATGCTGAAGGTATGACTGTAGCAAAAAATTGTCTCCTCTGAATCCTTACTTTCCTTTAAGTTGCGATTTCTCCCGTCAATATTAATTCTAGTCACCTCTATTCATGGTGCACATTTTGTGTTTCTCAAACATGAGGTAATCTTCACTAATATGAAGGAGGTAATTACTTGGTAGAAGTACTTGAAACAGTAATCGGTAATGCAGATCGTCAGAACTATGCTGTACAAACAGACTTGTAAATTCCATATATCCTCTTAAAAATGAACTCTTTTGGTATTGTTGATGTTAAGATTGTTGCTGTTGTCATAGATATGGATTTATGTTGCGTTATTAACAAACAGTGCAAAGTTATTTAAACTTTACCTTTTCTTCCGACATTTCTTTCGTCTGCTCTACAGTTTGGACTTCCAATAAGTACAGTTAGTTGTGAAACCAAAGTAAATAAATGGTTTCATTGCATCTATGCTCATCGCTCCTACTTTTGTCATAATGCTAATAAAGATAGCATCTAACTATGTGTTAAATATCTAACAATTAAACAACACTTATGATAGTGCAAAGCAGATTCTATATAAAGTTAGAGATTATCTCTGGATGGCCATCAAAGTCACTTCCGGTTTTACTTTCGGTTTCAGCCAAAGAGCACATGTTTATACGACATTGTAAATTGTTGACAAACGGCTATCATGTGAAAATAATTTTGTTGAGAAGATGGAGAGTATCACGTTGTTATTGTTCACATGTGGTAAACTTGAACCGATACGTTAACATGAACTAAACATAATACGTATTAAAATGAAGTTTCAAATTAGCGTTATGTGTAAAATAGTTGCACGGCCCCTTCATACCTACACACAATGCTTTTATTCAGCGAGATATAAACTTTCATGTGGCCATTATCGGACATCCTGCTCATTTTCTGAGTTTCATCATTTTGATACAATATTTGCATTGTCATCTGGACATGGGAAATGTGGAGTTGCAGTCATCCGAGTGTCTGGGCCAAGATCTGCCAGTTCTCTTAAAATGCTTTGCAAGACAGAAGAACTACCAAGACCTAGATTTGCACACCTAAGGAAATTATTCAACCCAGTTACTTTCGAACCAATAGACAAAGGCCTTGTGATTTGGTTTCCAGGTAAGATACACTTGTATAGTGTGCAATTAGGACACACATGTACAATACAGATGTATGTAGGGTATTGCCTCTCAGTCTGAATTGAGTAAACTTCTAATATGTGTATATGGTTAAATGGTAAGGATACGCAATGATTATCACTATGTTATTGTTACATTTTTACTTCATTTCGGTGAATAAACTTGTGTAATGTCATGTATGTGCATGTATAGTGATGTCTGAAAATTATAGCAAAACAATATCGGAGATTCCCTTTGTTATCTGAATGTAAAGGAAGGGAAAGAATGCAACAGTTAGTCAGGAGCTCAAAGTAAGGACCATCATGTTCTAGACAAAAACAAAAAAAAACCAAACAATTATCTACATTGTACATATACTTTGACATATCTTTTTGTTTGGTGCCAAATGTAGTAAAGGAGACGGGACATGTAATGGCACGAAATGGGCTCAAATCCAGGAGGTCAGAACTCTGGAGGAACACTTCTTTTAGATGTAACAATTAACATGCAATACTGAATAGATATAAGACTGTGAATGCTACCATTTTTTTTCATTGCCATGATAAAAAATGTCACTTGAAACAAAACAAAATAAAAGTTACTTAATTCTTAACTGATTTAAAGTGTATTATTACACACTGAAGTTAATTTCTTTCAATTGTTTCATCTTTGACTGAAAAGTTTATCTTTTTATTTTTTGTTTTGTTTTTTTTTGTTTTTTTGTTTTGTTTTTTTATTATATATATATATATAAAAAAAACTTGATTTGACGAGATGCGAGTAAATTATAAATAAAAATGTACAGTTACTATGCACCTGAAGATTTAATACAGTGAAAGCGCTAGTGCAAAATGTAACGTCTTTCTTCTTTTGTCAAAAATCATTTTTATTTATATATATATATATTTCTGTTTTGTTTTGTTCAAATGTAAAGTTAAAGAGTCTTTTGTAACTTGATGCTGTTCTTGGTTACAACAGGTCCAGACAGTTTTACTGGTGAAGATTGTACTGAATACCATGTCCATGGAGGCCAAGCAGTCATCACAGAGATGGCTAATGTCCTCGGCAGTTTGGAGGGTGTTCGGCATGCAGAGGCTGGAGAGTTCACTAAACGGTCTGAAGACTTTCTGTGGAAAATTTTGTATAATACAAGATATATTCATCAAGACCTTCCAGAAAAATGATCTTTGTGTATCTGTTTTTGTTACAATAAGAACTTTGAGATGCTCCAAAGTCTCCAAGTTCCAAAGAAGGAAGGAAATAAAATAAAAGTGTTCTTATTGTAATTCTCAAACAATTATACGAGCACTTAGTAGGTATGTTAGAGTTTGAACTTAAGACATCCTACTTTTATGGTTAAAACCTTTCATTGATAGCGCATAATGATATAATTCTTTTCTTTAAGGTCTTGTTTTTTGCTTTTATTTTTCATGGTTTGTCTATAACCATGGAAACAACAGTAGCCTCTACACTTTAAATATTATACAGCATGCACTTAGTGAAACTGATCATTGAATAAATTCCATGTTTTTGTCTCACTTTTTCAAGAGCTTTTGCCAATGGTAAGCTGGACCTGACAGAAGTAGAAGGACTAGGAGATTTGATACATGCCGAAACAGAAGCTCAGAGAAAACAAGCTCTCAGACAAATGGATGGAGAACTCAGCAGGCTGTACACATCATGGAGAAAACAAATCATAAAGGTGTTGGCTATAGTAAATTAGTCTGTATCTATAGTCTGATTCCTAACATGTGATTATGATATAGACAGTTTCTTGCAAACATTTTTGATACATCAGTATCATACTTGACACATCAGTATCATATTTAACACATCAGTATCATATTTAACACATCAGTATCATATTTAACACATCAGTATCATATTTGACACATCAGTATCATATTGAAAGAAAGGTAGTAATGACATCATTGATTGCTTTTCCAGAATCTGAAACATGTCTGTTCTCTTATTCTGTAAATTAGAACTGCCAGATATTCTAATGGATGTTAAATCAAGTTCAGACACTCAGATATATACAGATAAACCGACAGTTTCAACTCTTTCCACGAGTAACGAAAAAAAGGAAAAGAAATCTGCTTGAATCTGAAATGAAAATCTGTATTAATATGTTATATAATTACTGTGCAGTATACTGCTAATCTAGAAGCATACATAGACTTTGCTGAGGATGACAACATAGAAGATCACGTCGTTAATCAAGGTATGGTGCTTTTCCATGATGTTATAGAATGGTAAACAAGTTAGCTAATGTCTAGAATATAAGAAGTTTTATGGTTTCCACTTGGATATTTCCAAGTATTGCAGTATACCTATTTTTTCCCCCATGAAACACCAAAAATTTATACGGTTAAATGTATGTAGCACAAATAAAGATATTACTTTTTGCCAGAAGTGCTACACTAGGTATGTGCACTTGTCATTGGAACTTCATACTAGGGATATGGCCTCACCTTGGTGAGACGGTGTATCACATATAAAAAGTTAATCACTCTGACCTACATTTTGACCTCTAGTCAACATCATAGAAAAAGTTTGTCTGGATCCAATCTCCTACACTTCCAGTCACTGGAACTTCATATTTTGTTTAATGGAAGGGACATTTTTTGCTGAATGGTCTTTTTAAAATTATAAATGTTTAAGTTTTAGAGTCAGGAATATTTTCATTATTTATTTTTCCAGTACATATTGGTGTTGAACAACTTCTGAGTGAATTAGAGGATCACTTGAGGGACAAACGTCAAGGCGAGATTTTACGATCAGGAGTGCAAGTAGCTATTGTTGGAGAACCTAATGTTGGAAAGAGCAGTCTTCTTAACTCTGTTTGTAAGTCTCTACATTTTATTGTCTTATTTTCAAGTGGTCTTATTTTCCTTGCTCTTTCCCACAAGTCTCCATGTAAATCTTTCTTTTGTTCACATTTTCCCCTAGTGTCATGAATTTGAGTTTGGATTATTATTGTGTTGACATGTTGGTATTTTCTTGTCGTCTTTTTTTCAGATCAGCAAATCAAAGTCTGAATATTACTTTAGGGATCAAATAATTCAAGAACCCTAGAGATAACCTTTTTGTCAATTTACCTGTCCTAGATCTACCTCCGTACATGTAAACTTGTACTTATCTACATATGCTATATTTACAATAAATACTACTCTAATTTTTGATTGGTTGTAAAACAATAAAATATGTATAAGATATTGTTAGCAAACGGCCTGTAAAGAAAAGTAGTTTTCTCAACTCTCTGTCAATATTGTGTGGAAATTGATAAAGACACAGAAGGTGCATATTCTCAACTCTCTACATACATGTATCAATATCATAAACACTGTTCTAAAATCTGTCTCGAATGTAGTGGTATTGTTGATAGTTGCTTTTTACTTCCGGTGTATCTTTATCATGGATGAATTCAGAAGTCAGAGTAGTCATTTAAAGGTTTCTGGTAATATTAGTAAATCTGTGTAGAGAAGAATATACTTCAATTTAAAATCTATATTTTTGATGAACTTACTATTGAAAAGATTAGGCTTCTTGTCATATTTAAACAAAGAAACTGCATATAAAGTTGGAGTGTTTAATTAGTATTTTTTCTGCCTTGTCGGAAGTTTGAAATGATAGTCATGACTTTATAACATGATTGTACCATCAATGATTTTCAGAACAACACCGACATTTGTATTTCAAACTTTTTCTCAAGTTTCACCCAAAACATTGAGCTCACCGTGCCTGGAATTGATTCCAAGATAGTCTTGACCAAATATTGTAATTTTTCCAATACCATTAATGAAGGAATTTGGCTGCAGTTGTCATCATCTTAGAAAACACCTTGTAAACTTTTCCTCGTTAGCCAGTGTCCTTAAGCTGAAAATTAATTGGGGTGATGAAGAATGGATGCTGACAAATTGTTGTTACTATTTGAACTCGTCGGATGTTGTGACATTACATCCATGGAGGTAATTTTGTTACACAATGCACAATCATGGTTTTCCCGAGCAATGCCTGACTTAGAATTTTCTATTTTCACCACAAGGATTTAGCTTAAACATACTGGAAATGTTTCTTTCATGATCTTGTACAAGTATTGTTATTTTTCAGGTTGGTAAAAAATCCATTTTAATAATTATTCATTTTCCCCGCTACTTCTACTGTTATTACAGTGCTTTATAGAAGTTTAGGCCTCTCGTTTTGTGTATTTCTTTCATTAATGTTGCTCAACAGATGTTCCCTTTAGTATTATATAAGCCAAGTTAGCATACCATCCACATCATTTGGTTTTATCAATTACTATCAATTATATAAAAAAATATTTATTGTGGTTGAAGGTAGCAGTGTTCAATATGCGTGAAAACATTTGAAAAACAATCCTCAAATATCAAGATTGTTTTGATGCAAATAAAATATTTAAAACAATGTTTTAATGGTATATGCATCTCGGATAAAAAATATACTTGTAATAGATAAGATGTATATGCTTCGCAAAATTACCAAATGAATTAAGAAAAATGTGTAGATTAATGAAAATATTAATCATTTCAGAAGTAGATTCTAGTTATTGGTACATATTCATGACAAAAATAAAGAAAAAAAATTCAAATTCAAATTCGATGAAATTATGGCAACAAACGAACAAAATATCAACACATAGACTCTGGAAAAAGTTCAAGATGAATATGACCATATGTTCTGAAACTGTAAACGTTTTCTGCTTCATTGACGACATCTGCCCCGTAGATCTACGTTAATTCATATAAATAAGGCCATGCCCATAGTGAGAACAAAGTAAACAACAACGAAACAGCCATCAAACATGTCCAACATAATATCGCAGAAGGAGAATACTTTATGATAGGATCATCTATAACAACCAGTCTGCATCCCTGGAAACCTTGTGTTGGGAGTGTGTGTCAGCTGTCATGATATTGGAAATGAGCTGTTGGATATTAAATCAACTGCAGCATTACCCAGAAATGAAAAATTCATAATAGATAAATGAAAATAATCATACACCTTGGTGGAAAGCTGTGCCTGTTGTTTTTGTTGTAAGAAAATAATCCGTTCAGTTGTAGAATGTCTGTGGTGTTGTTGATTTCCGATTCTGATGAGTATACCAATGTGTACAATTAACACGATCAGTAAGTTTCTTGTTATTTAAAGTGAAGCCATTGTTGAAGGACTGGCATAATTTAGGATATACCTGTATGTACGCATGCAATTTATTATATATCTACAGGCCAGCGACCAGCTGCCATTGTGTCCCCACTAGCAGGCACCACAAGAGATGTGGTGGAGACTGGGGTCAATATTGGAGGATATCCTGTGCTTCTTAGTGACACAGCAGGTCTGAGGGAGACACAGGACACCGTGGAAATGGAAGGGGTCAAAAGGGCTCTTCAAAGGTCTGTATAATCAAACAAATCAGTCTGCGAATTTCTGTTAAAGTAATTTCAGTGATGAGTTATCAAGTGTTTCCTTTTTTTAAAATGCTTGTAACAATAAAATTCAGTCAAGGCGTTGATCTTAAGCTGATGAAATAGTTCAAATGTAAGCGTAGTTTTGCAGAAGGAATGAAAATTTCATGATAGGCATAGACCAGACTGATATGATGGATGGAACATGAAGTATTCTTTTTTGTTTTTTTTTGGTTTTTTTTCCAGGGCTCAACAGGCTGATATCAAAGTTTTAATGATGGACTCTAATTTTAATCACAATGCTGGAATGGAACTGTCATCACTTGTCTTTCATCATATCTCTGACCTTGGCATCTCACCGATATCTGATGTTGAAAATCAAATTGAAAATAATTATGTGAATACACTAGACAATTATATTCTGGTATTCAACAAAATAGATCGGCTTTCAAAAGATGACTTTATGAAGCTAAAAACAATAATGGATGGATGTGAATTGACTTCTTGCATGATTTCATGTGAAAGTGGTGAAGGGTTGGATGACTTTGTGAAAATACTGGAGACAAAAGTGGCACAAAGGTAAGCAATCAAACATTGAAAATTTTATCACAGCAGCCCATTTCTCAAGAGTCATTTTATGTAACCAGTTTCCAGAAGAGAACTCAGATTGGGACCAAAACAAAACAATAATATAACATCTTAAAATCATTTAAAAGCATTTTTAATCCATAAGAATATTAATTTGATGCTTCAATATGTCTATAGCCATCAGTTCTCTGTTTCAGTTACTGTCCTTTTGATATCTTAAAACCAATATAAATAGCCTTTATATCTCTAAATAAACTCTGAGCAACGACCTCAGGTGTGGCGACACTGCTTTTGCCTTGATCCACTTTCTATATCGTCTAATTTGAAATACATGACATTACACTGACATAACTGAATTTGTTACAGGTGCGGAAACCCTCTGGCTGGATCCCCTAGTCTCACTCAGACCCGCCACAGACAGCACATTCAGGCTTGTGTTGGCCACCTCAAACAGTACCAGCAACTATCAGATGATGTAGTCATCGCTGCTTACAACCTGCAAAATGCAGCCAGGGAAATTGGCAAAATTACAGGCAAAATAACATCTGAGGAGATATTAGATGTGATATTTAGAGACTTCTGTATAGGGAAGTGATTCAATAAAAGATGATGGTTAATATCCGCTATGATTCTTATTAGCCTGATATATGACAAGTCAAAACTAACCTTTGTTCATAACGCCATGTCCGGTCTTTAAGTAGTTCTTGTATTAAGGATGTCATGAAATCGTATCTTAATCTTGCTGTTTCGATGATTTTTAAACTTGACAACAGTTCCAGTGATGAGCTGTCCACAATGAGACATGTGAATCAGGATGATTATGACATGACTGTATAGTGTAAAAATATTATAAAAATAAAATGGAAAACGAAGTAAAAGCTACAGAAAGAGAACTGAAACCAAAGAATGGACCCCTAATGAAATTCTCAGAATTGACAAAATAAGTGATGATCTGTAAACAAATTATCAGAATTGATGAATTGGGAGAAAATTGAGCTAAGGCTTGTGTATTTACAAGGAGTAAATGTTTTCTGAAACCTTACAAATAATCTTAATTACAATCAATACAGACTAGAAAAGTGAAAGAACTTATATAATTAACTCCATATTGACCCTAGTTAAAAAGTTCAAACAACCGAGGGTATTTTGGTAAATTTTGTACCATCACATGTCAATACCTGGAAATAAAATAGCTGATGATCTAATCAAAAAAGCTCTTCAGAAAATTACATAAGAATGTAAGGTGAAATTATCTTATAAGACAGAAGTGTGTTTTATTATCAATCAACAAAACAATCATAAATGGTCAGAAACGTGGAAAAATTTGGAAAGATCAAACAACCCAGAGACGTATGTGTACGTCTCTGAACAACCTAAGGCAAAATATAGATAAACCTGATACTAATCCAAAGCTTTAGGACGAAACATAAATTAGAAGATAATATCAAAACTGAGGTTAGGAATCACGAAATTAAAAAGTAATATCAGTAGGCCTATAATGGTTAAAAATATGTCACTAGAATATGTACGCATTGTAAAACTGAACCGTAGAACACATTTTTCTATATTGCAATAGATTCTATCAGGAAAGAAATATCTCATCGCCGAATTGAAAAGAATTAAAATCCATTACACATCCATCAGCCAAGTTTTGACGTCACATGAAAATGAAAGACTAGTGCATAGAATGCTCGTTGAATTTCTAAGGAAAATTGACTACTAAAACAAAATATAAACGGTAAACAGAAAGGTCGTAGGGAGACAACTCCCACACATCAGAAACATACACCAACAATATACACAATAGATAGGATACCCAGAGAGATTGCACCTGAGAGGATTACTACTGATCCTCTTATTCATGGGTGCATAATGACACCTCATGAGGTATGTGATCCCCAGCCCCAATATTCACATTTGTAAAGTAACCTACACATACAGCGAAGGCAGTGGTGTCCCGCGGGGGTTCCTAGCGAAAAGCTCGATGCCGAAACTGTTCACATTAGTAAACAACACCCACACGTAAACACACCATTTCAAGTATTTGTTAAACAAACGACTAAATAGGAAGAAAAATACACAAAGAAACTCCACATTTAATGATCTACGTCCAGTATATACATACAACACACAAACATGCAAACCAACTAAACACCATACAAGAACCCATCCTCGCTCTACCCAGCCCCCTCACCTACACCATCTCACACCCTAACCCCCCCCATCACCTACCCCATCTCACACCCTACCCCGCCCCCTCACCTACCCCATCTCACACCCTACCCCGCCCCTCACCTACCCCATCTCACACCCTACCCCGTCCCCTCACCTACCCCATCTCACACCCTACCCCGCCCCTCACCTACCCCATCTCACACCTTACCCCGCCCCATCACCTACCCCATCTCACACCCTACCCCGCCCCCCACCCCATCTCACACCCTACCCCGCCCCCTCACCTACCCCATCTCACACCCTACCCCGTCCCCTCACCTACCCCATCTCACACCCTACTCCGTCCCCTCACCTACCCCAATCTCTCTCCCTTCCCCTCCCCCTCACCTACCCCATCTCACACCCTTCCCCGCCCCTCACCTACCCCATCTCACACCCTACCCCGCCCCCTCACCTACCCCATCTCACACCCTACCCCGCCCCCTCATCTACCCCCCCCAACCCCCGCCCCCTCACCTACCCCATCTCACACCCTACCCCGCCCCCTCATCTACCCCATCTCACACCCTACCCCACCCCCCACCCCCCGCCCCCTCACCTACCCCATCTCACACCCTATATAAATAGAAATACTTCTTCACAAACCGCAGGATGTATATAATAGTATATAGGTTAGATTAGACAACTGAATTCCTCTTTATGTACAAAAATTAATACATTGCTCCCTGAACGTGCTACCCGTGCATGCGTAAGGGATCTCTCTCTTTTCTAAATCTTCAATTTATCTTAAAAATATCAGCATATCATAACACATTCTACCTCAACATAACTTATCATGCCGATACCAATAATAACAATTATATATCAGCACATTCACACAAATCACATATATCATTATAAAAAAGTCGTTATAGTGAACAGATGTATGACGGAGTGGAATCGCAGAAAGCAACACACATTCGTAAGGTGATAATAGACAATATGATTGGAAAAGTGTTCATCAAGACGGGACAAAAAAACAAGTGTTAATTATAAGTTCGCCTGTACCGATTTAACCACTAACTATAGTACCGGCGGATGGGACCTTAAACGGTGGCCAGCGTAAGGCTTGTCCACTCTCGCAGGCTCAAGGTCCCTCTGTGGCTTTTCGTGAAACAGGAGGTGTGATGACGCCGGTCTGGGGTTCCAGGGATGGTGTCAGACTATATAATTATTTCTAAGGCATTAGACGGACTTCAAAATTACCCTAACACATACCAAATTTAGACAGACCCCCAACTCTTCCTTTCTGCTTCTGGACATGTTTCAACTACTGGAATTAGAATAAGGCATTATTAGGCTCCGAGGCCGTCTACCAAAACTAGTATAATCAAACGATCGCCGCTACAGACGGTTTCAACCCAACTGAGAGGGGTGCAGGTCGCCCCCTTGCGTCGCCAGAACACTGACGTTGGTCGGTGAGACGATACCCGGACACGAGAGGAGTCACTGACGTTGATGTTCGGGTGAGACGATACCCGGACAAGGAGTCGAGAGGAGTCGCCAGAACACTGATGTTCGTCGGTGAGACGAAAAACCTGTCAACCAACCAACAGTCGCCAGAACACTGATGTTCGTCGGTGAGACGATACCCGGACACGAGAGGAGTCATGGAGACGAAAAACCTGTCAACCAACCAACAAATAGATTGTTCCACGTTAGTAAGCTAAGAAAGAGACAATTTGTTCCATAGTGATGTCAGCAGTCATATTGTCAACTGGCAATTCCATCATTCATTCCTCTATATTGAAATTTTACGTCACCAGAACTCGCTCGTCGGTGAGACGATACCCGGACACGGGAGGGTTCACGGAGACGGGAAATCAATCAATCAATTTCAGCCTACCACGCCTACGTGGTTGTTTGATTTTGATAGAGAGAAAAGATTGTATTCATTTTATTATTATACACTATTAGACCTAAGAGGACACAACATCTTGATTTGCCGTATCTGTATCTACATTTCATTCTATTGATGCGGCCATTTATTAATAAGGCGTTCGACAATGGACCAATCTCATTGTAATTTACAAAATGCAGTATCGTTAATAAGGACCTTGTGAACACTGTAACCTGAGTAAATGTGAACAAATTTAGATAAAACTTTGTGTGAAGCCTTTAATTATATTATAAGAGTTGGACAAAGGGACCAATGTTATCGTTATTTACATAGATTATGGCCCAGTTTATTTTTGGCGATGAAATAAGTTAGTGTGCTGCTAGAACGATAGAGGAATGCGGACATGCATGTAAGGAGCCTTATCTGCAAGTGAATAATGTAGCTGAATCTTATCTATGTAACTGGGGTACATGTTCAAGTTTACCTGTACCCTATACAAATATAAATAAGATTCTGTGTATATATCTAGCGTGACCCTACTGAAGTAATATGTAAACATAAAATAGGTATTTCCCTATACTTGAAACTTCCTGGTCAGGTGTCGATAGAATGTTAAATTCATATATATAAACTTTCTCGTATACAGCTGTGGCAGACCTGTTTAGAATACGCAAGTTGCATGTTTCTGATCGACAAGTTTGAATGATATCCGCTCAGTGGTAAGTAGCCTTATAAATTCACTTTCTATGGTATCGCCTGTTTAGGTTGCTATTCTAGCTATTAGCTAGACAACCTTGTGCGACATTATAATACAATATTTATTTATCAGAAATGTTCTTTAACCGTGTTGACGTTATTACATAAGTAATATATATCTATTGAATTATTTTGATTTCATATAGACCTAACTGATAATGTAAACCTGAATGAAAGAGATCGAGAAATGTTCTCTTTATTAATTTTCACGATGTTGACCGTTACTTGTTAAGTTCACCTGAGTAACACAAATCAATATATCTACGTAATGCGTTTTGTTAAAGCACATGAGACTGCATATCAATCTTTACCATGATACCAAATCAAATATATTATATTTGCAAAGATGAATGGACATGTATAAGCATGCTGTCCGTGTGAAAATTTGTTCCTGTAATAAAACATGTAGTTCAACTCTCTTATATCTATTACTTTCAAATAATGAGCGTACGAAATCCTATCTATTAGATTGTGTATACTTTAGAATAATGAAACGACCGCAACAATTAAACAATACATGAAGTAATTAAAAAAAATCTAAACGTGGTTTGTTAACTTTTTTATTTGTATTTACAACTGGGTTATACGGAAGAGTTGACTGAATCTTAAAGTCTGTATAATGGTGCTTGTTTAATGCTACAGATCAAGTAAATCTATTCTATCTTTCAGTTGGGTATACACGAAGATATCAAGGATGACGATTTGTGGGAAGATTTGTCGTTGTATAAGTTTATTGATCGTACAAACACACATGTCATGTTGCATGCTAGCTTGTTACTCTGACCAGCAACATACTATCAACAACCAATCACTCACCTACTTGAACGTTACGGTCCTGGACAATTGTTCCGCGGGCACACATACTCTTTCCGCAAAGGACAATGATATAGAATCACTCACCGAAGCGTCGTTCAGGATTTCAGATTTGTGTAAGTTTTATTATCTCGGTCTGATTTCTTTGACTAATAATAATATAAACACTATTGGAAAAAAGACATTTTCTTGCTTTCCAAGACTGACGAAACTGGATTTGAGTTATAACAAGTTAACCACCCTTGTTGAAGGTGTATTTGATAATTTGATATTTCTAGAAGTGTTGGACCTCTCCTACAACTCAATACGTCACATAGACACCTCAGTCTTTGGACGCGATAGATTGACGTATTTAAATCACGTTTACTTGCAGAATAACGACCTTCATGAAATGGAGCCATGGCCATACGTATTGAATAGTATCAGGTTTTTCGATATTCGAAATAACAGTATTTCACGCTTCAGTAACAACATGGGATGGACATATGATCTAAGGGAACCGTTCCTCACTATTGTCGACATGAGATATAACAATTTGACCGATTGGAGAGATGAATACCTGCTCCAATACCATCCACAAGGCGATGTTAGCGTCGATCTCATTACGTACAACATGGATCTCCGAGACAATCCATGGAAATGTGATTGTTACGTGCATAACATCGTGAGTAGATTTCAAAGTTCATTCTTTCTGCACATACCGAATGACCCAATCAACCTTCCGTGTGAAACACCATATCAACTCCATAATGAGCTGATGCTTTATGTACCACGATTAAATGATTTGGTGTGCAATGTCACAATGGATTGCCCTGAACATTGCATTTGTCAGCAACAGCCAGAAAATCAAATTTTGACAGTCGATTGCAGCGGACAAGGGTTAAAGTCAATGCCTCAAACATTGCCTCCTTTACCGACTAACTATACTTACGTTTTGAATGTTAGCTTCAACAGCATCACCGAGGTAACATGGCGGAAGTACACAGAAAAGATCCAGACGCTTGACTTGCAAGGGAATGGACTACAAACGATAGAACCATTAGCAATCCGTGAGACGCCAAATTTAAAATTTATGGATCTAAAAAACAATAATCTTAAATCTCTACCTAACACGATGCAGAAGATAGTCTTTGAAATGACAAATTTAAGTAATAACCCTTTCGTCTGTGATTGTGATATGATTTGGATGGGGGGCTGGATAAAACGGTCACCTGTATTCACCTTTGGACGTGACATGAAATGCACATTCAATGAAGAACAGTACCTTATCACGGAAGTATCGAATGATCTCCTTAATTGTTCAAAATATTTAGCTATAGGACTAGCGATAGGATTTGGTATATTGTTGGTTGTTGTTACCATTGTAGTGGTGTGGGCGAAACGTTGTCCATACGAAACAAAGGTTGTGCTGTTTAAATACTTTGGGTTTCATCCTCGTGATAAATATATCGTTGACAGAGAGGCTGAAACAGACTATGATGTTTATGTGTCTTTTGATGACGAAAATATACATATTAGACAATGGGTATTGATGAAACTGGCCGCCAAACTTGAGCCTACTTATAAAATGTTCATTCCCATACGTGATTTACCTGTAGGAACCGACAGGGGAGATGAAACAATAAAAAGCCTTGAGCGGAGCAAGCGGATAATTATCCTCCTGTCAGACGGGTACGAGCAACATGGCTGGTGCGCGTTTGAGTGTCAGAGAGCAGAAATTCTAGACTTTAGCGAAGGAAGGATAATTTACATCAAATATCACGATAGTGTTATGGAAATCCTAAATCAGGACCCATGGAAAACGAGATTAAATGATAGGAAAGTATTTTCTCCCAGTGGAAATAAATCTGACAGACGTTGGTTTTGGGATAAACTAAAGTATGAACTGCCAGTAGTGTTACAAAAAGACAGAAAGTATTGTTTTTATGCTTAATATAGGGTTTATATATATATAGGGCTGTATAAGCCTGTTACAATATGGTTACATAATTTCTCGTGGAAAAAGTGCTTAAATCACACCTACATTGTATATAATAAATGCTTTGATATTTGTCGAGATTTGTATTCAGTATGAGTGTTTTTATACTGATGAAGTCAACCTTTTACATGTGGTAATCGTTTTACGCTTCAAGAAACTGCTCAAAGAAGTGAATTCACATATATTTTTGTTCTTCCGTCCGTATTTTGGTATGTATGTAGGATTATTATGGATGAATGTGGATGGTAGGGATGGCAAGGTGGATGGTTGGTTAAATGGGATGGATTAATGTGGATGGTAGGGATGGCAAGGTGGAAGGTTGGGTGAATGGGATGGATGAATGACGGATGGGAAGGATGACATTGTGGATGGTTGGTTAAATGGGATGGATGAATGTGGATGGTAGGGATGGCATGGTGGATGGTTGGTTAAATGGGATGGATGAATGTGGATGGTAGGGATGGCATGGTGGATGGTTGGTTAAATGGGATGGATGAATGTGGATGGTAGGGATGGCATGGTGGATGGTTGGGTGAATGGGATGGATGAATGTGGATGGTAGGGATGGCATGGTGGATGGTTGGGTGAATGGGATGGATGAATGTGGATGGTAGGAATGGTATGGTGGATGGTTGGGTGAATGGGATGAATGTGGATGGTAGGGATGGCATGGTGGCTGGTTGGTTAAATGGGATGGATGAATGTGGATGGTAGAGATGGCATGGTGGAAGGTTGGGTGAAGGGGATGGATAAATGACGGATTGGAAGGATGACATTGTGGATGGTTGAATGTAAGTTAAATGAGTTATTTATGATGTTATAATGCAGTTTATTTCATTGTTCTATTGTATCTAGATTTGTATTAAAAGATGATATTTTCACTTGTGTGTCTTTTGTACAATCTTATAGATCTATGTCCTTCCAAGGCAAGGACATGCAAAAACCCTGGTTATATATACTTATATCAAACTTTATTTATTATCGTATATCAGAGTGGTAGATACATTATACAAAAAATGAAGGGTTCAGAAACAAGTACATAACACTGATGTCTCCTCTTAGTTCAACAATGGAACAGTAATGACAATATTTCTGGTATTAGTTATATATTGTAGGTGTAGCTAAAGCAGAAAGAGAAAGGGAGCAAGGGTTAAGATTTGGATAATACTGAGAGTTCCTGACTGTATTTTTGGAACATACACTGATTGCAATATAATCCAATAACAATAAGTCTACTGGGGCTTTACATGTTTTACTAGTCATTATATTATACAAATTGCAAATACAGATGCAATTACAAAAGTTAATTAAATATGGCCGCTCTACTCTGAAATTGTCTTGTCCGACTTGTATACAATACAACGCCCTATGGAGTATCATAAGATGTACCATATTAACTATCACTAGAATATATCTGTCAGAACACTTGTCGTGTCACACGGGAACTTTGGACAACAAGACTGTTACAAGCAATAATAATTACATATTGCTTAAAGGGAATACCTTATCAAAAACGTAAAAAAAAAAAATAAAAAATTTGAACGCAATCACAAATAGTTTCTTTATCGCCGAATCTTAAGCCTAATTGATAGGATATCTTTTCATCATTTGATTCCGTAATTTTCATAAATAAGATAATTCTAGAACAGCGTCAAGTACGTGTGTATACTCTGAACCGTGCCATTATTCGAAGGAATCAAAACGTGGCATGCATGAAACGGCAAATCCTCAAAGTCCACCAGCAGTGTCTACCACCTGCTATCTCAAGATTTTACATTACACATAAGTGAATAGCATCGTTTGATAATTTATAGTTCGATACAGTAGGGCCACGCAATGAAGTAAACTTCAGGAAATTATTCCAGGAAATACAGCTGTTTTGTCCTTTTAAGATCCGTCAGTGGTGCTAAGGGTCTAAAATTTGAAGTCTAGAAGACGAATACGGGAAATCATAGTAATAGGAAGATAATTAAGAATCTAGACAGGGAGGTGCACTAGCTCAATGATTGAATGAAAAAAGACAGACATTTACTGTTATTAACAGATATGTCATCAGGTTACCAAAAGTCAATATCAGGTAAACCAACACGCTGAAACTTCTTCTGAGTAATTGTCTGCTACTGCTGAATCAAAACAGCCCCTGATTCTCTCTGATGGTTTGGCATTTTAGTTTCCATACATTGGCGACTTTTTGTCCGAGATAGTTCTGCATATTATCAATTGGGTTCATGTTTGGTAACATCGCATGCCAAAGGAGCGTCTCTTTCACTTCGTGCTTAAGATGATCTTGCACTAGACGGGCTTTGTGTATTTTGGTATTATCATTCATTAGGATTGGCCATCGAAATGCGGAACAACTGAGTATCGAACGATATTCTATGTCCAGTGATCATGTGCCCATTGTATTCTTGCTTTCCAGTTAACAAAAGACGTTTTACTGGCCTGACGAAATCGCCTATTGTTCAATCGTCTGACATTCCACTGTCCTCTGAGCCTGTTGACAGTGGAGAATGGGACAAACATTGACTGTCTACATAGAACTCCGTCCTCTCTCTCTGTAGTCTTTCGAGGTCTACTGACATTAAAACATACAGCTACTTGCTTGTATGTCATACCACCATGAACCATTTCAGAAATATTTGTTAATTTTCTAATTGTTCTATTTTAAAATACAATATACAATGGGTTGGTTGCGTGTATACAACTCAGTAATTACATAAGATCTTATAAATAAATTATATTTATCATAATGGCATTGCAATTATCGGAATGCACTTGTTACATATTAGAAATTGATTTATTTTGTATATAATATCAGTAGAGGTATAGATATTTGGGAATGTGATATATTACTACAATAAAAAAAAACATCTACATGTACATGTATGTATAACAGTAGAAACATATATAACTCGGTATAGATGAGCATCAGGCTTAAATGCATAACTTAATTCAAGTTATACGGAAGGTGATACTAAATGGATAAACACATATAGGTATTGAGCTGTAATAGAAGTGCATACCATCTGATAGGTGATATGGCCACATCAGTAACACAGACATGATGAAAGTCAAAGTGAAAGTATACACAAACTTAAAGGCAGAAAAGGGGACACTTAGAGTCCGATAAATTTGGTCCACTGTAAGACGAAGGAAAACGCCCGTCACCGTCCATAGGTCAGCCAAGCGACGCTGGCACAGACTACGTGACGGTTACGTGTCCATAGGACGTAGCTCAGATTCCCGCCGGATTTAATACGATCGAGACCTTTTATCGTTATTTTTCCATGATAGGTTTGCAGAATTTCGATCTGAGATTTTACCAAGTTTGTCCGGTAGAATGCCAATTTCTACTTGATTTGATGAGGTCTTCATTAGCAAATATTGTTTTAGACTTCAAATATTATAAAACCCGTGATCTAACTTCAGTAGTTTGAATTTTGCATCGATTGAGGTCAAACGCTTCATGGGCCTGGTTTACCGACTGCGAGTGAGCGTTCCACCATCTCGGGAGCAAGGTAGACATTGCATTTAATGGCTGCTTTGAGGTTAGTAGTTACACTAAGTGTACACACATTAAATACAAAATTTAAACCCAAAATGCAACACCTGTGATTGATACAATTAAAAGTAAATAGATCAATTTCTCGATACAACGCAATGGCTGGCGGAGGTCTCGACCAGCGGTATCTTAATGCTGTTCAACGAATAACTTCATGGACATGAAAATTAAGATAACTCTAAGGTGATACATATTTAAATGTATTAGACATATCGACTCCGTATTGGTCACATTTAAGGTACACGTAATGTGACGCCTCAGGTCCCGATAACTCCAAAACAAACATCTAGACCATAAATATAAACTAACAGCCAGCACATTGGACGGCAGGTAATATTATCAGTAAACTACAAAACTCATGTCGTCATTGGAAATCTAACGGGATATAAAAAGAAAAAACTATTCTGGTCCATATTGATTTTATGTTATATCACGTTTATAGGGCACTGGTATGTTGTATGGGTAACGGAAGACTTCCTGGTCTTCGGTGGTAGGCCACGGAGATCGTACATTTGATTCGGCAACTCCTGATCCGTTTTCCTTTATGCTGAAAACCTAATTTGTCAGCATGCAACATTTCAGACAAATAAATCATTAAAAAAATTGTCGAAGTCCTTCAGAAAGCAAAGTTAAGCCTGTTTTGCAATATTGATTTTTCCAAAAATGTAATGTTGTCCGTAGATCTTTTAAACTTTAAATGTTTTGCCAGAAAAAGAGGCCATAAAAACCCAATATAAATGAAAGTACTTTATCATGGGCCGTTTGTTTGTAATTTGATATAAAGGAACTCCTTTTTTAGATTGGATAATCAATAATAAGTTTGTAAATGTTTTATGCATGTTACAAGATACTGCTGGTGAAGCGTTTTGTTGTAAAGGGAACGTGTGGGCGACACTTTTAGACAGTGACCGAGTGCTAGATTTGAAGATAGTATATAACATTAATTCATATTTCACAAATTTTTACTTTACTTCTGTATGTTTTTGTTATCGTATATCGCAGTGGTACATATATTATGTAATATGAAAGGATTCAGGAACTAGAACATAGTACTTATGTAACTCTGTCTCCTAATATTCTTAGAACATAGCCAATATTTCAGGTGTAAGTTATATATTGCAAGTGTAGAGAAAGACGAAAGTGAAGACAGGTCTGGACTTCGGTGATGCTGTGGGTTCATGGCAGCATTTCTGGAACATAAACTGATTGCAATATAATCCAATAACGATAAGTCTACTGGGGCTTTATATGTTTTACTAATCACTATATTATACAAACTGCAAATACAGATGCAATTACAAACAGTAATTAAATATGACCGCTCTACTCTGAAATTGTCTTGTCAGACCAATGTATGATATGACGCCCTAAGAAGCCCATGTTATGTAACAGC